AAAGAAGCAGCAAGCGAAAAATAAGGAAGATATATAGTCTTCCATTTTCGAAGTATAATTTTTCCATGGACACAAAGAAAAACATGATCAGCTGATTCCTCCCAATGAGACAGAATAAGCTGTCAAATGCTTACCATCTGGTTCGGCTCCTAACCCAGATGGGCTGCCAATAGAAATTTATGAAAGGTTTGAGAGCAACTTGCCGTTCTCAGGAAAGAATCATTAAGACACATTAACACCGGGATTTGCTCCGCTCACCCAGCCCCAATTTGTGACAGATGCAAAGATAGGACAACTGTTCCTATACAGCAAATAGAACAGTCTATTTTTGAGCCAGAAGTGAATATGTCTCTGCTCTTTGGGGGGAAAAAATCCATCATTTTTCTTCCCCCTTCCCTCTCCTCTACTGGCTCACTGAACAAGGAAGAAAATGCTCCCATAATGGAGTTTCTAACAAATGTCTGAGGAAACCTTCATTGTCTGTTATTTCTGAATATCTGTGATGCGCTCGGAAAAGTCAAAGTCAACATCAGGAATAGTCTGATGAACCTGACGCTCACACTGTAGTCAGGTTCCCTCTAACCCATTCCCACAGAGAAAGCTCAGAGATCAATCAGTATTTCAGTGAAATTCAAGAGCCACAGATCCTTAGACCCAAGCGTCTAGCCCCTCTCCCATCCAATTGGACAGCACATGAGAAGTGCGGCTTCAGAATTCAAACAAAATGATGACACTTGTTTTAACGAGTTTCTGTTATTCAATCTTAGTTCTTATCCCACCATTTATTCAATATGATTGTGAAATAATAGCACTCATTCCTGAGTGACTTATGGAAATGTTTTCATCTATTTTTAGTTCATGTAAGAATTGCTGGCAGAGAGTGAGGTAATATTTTTCCTTTGATCAAACCATCTGCTTTACAGGATCTGAGAAAATTGCTAGTGTGCATGCTATACATGTTTTAAAATGTTTGGGGCAATCAAAAGAAAAGTGTGGATAAAATTTCTAACTAAAAATGATGAGCTCAGGGTGGGTTCCAACCTGCAGATTGGATTGTCACTAAGAAGGACAGAGAGGGAGTGGCACTGGGGTTAGGAGTGTGACATATTCCAAATGGGCATCAGAGAAGAGATTAATGCCACAACAGACAGAGGTGATCTCGCTGGGGACTCAGAAAGAGGAAAGCAGGAGCTGCCTGAGGTAAGCGAGGTAGTGGAGCATCTCTCATGCTGAGGAAGGGGCGTGAGCCCCAAGTAGGGGTAGGGTGCGCAGCACACAGCCAATAATGCACAGGGAAACAAGGCGATTCTGTCTGTCCCTCCAAGGCTTTTATAGGGAAGGGAAGTTCCGGCCCACCTGACTACAAATGCTAGGCCACCAGAAAAGAAACCAGGCAGTCTTCTGATAGCCTAAAACTTCTATAAGTGGCCAAAGGGCAAAGTCGTCATTGTTTGGAAACTGTTACTAGTGACATTTTTATACAGTAATTATACATGTGTTCTTGTTCCTTAAATTTGTCTTCTCTTCCCTTAAATAGTTGTCAAAGTATATTTTATTTAACGTGAAAACATTCATTAATCTGCTACTTACAAGGCTATGTGCTCAGGGCTGCAGAGATATGTTAATAAAACAAATGTCCTTTCCCTTAAATAATTTACAGTGTAATTGATATACATAATCAAGCACCAATCACCACATAATGAAACCAAATCTTCTAGGTCATTGAAAAATGGAAAATGAATGACCCTTCCAAAGAAACAGAGAGATCCTATTTGGTTGGTGGTGATTCATCTAGAGAGCATTATTTTTACAGAAGGATTGCGCTCGGTTTTGTTTTGTTTCCCTATTTACTTTTCTCTGTGCTGGTACGATGCTCCTCTAGTGGCCACTTCAAAAACTGCAGACAGACATTGCACTACCTAGAGATGCTAGCCAGTTTCCAAAGATCATACCAGTTAGGCTGTTTCCAATCAACACTCAACTCTGGGGACAGTGAGATTTTAAAGGGAGAACACTCCCATCCCTCTATCATGTGTTATAGATGCAGAAAAGGTACTATGAGGTGGTAAAGAGGGAGGACTCTGAGATCAGATGAACAGGTTCCAATCCCAGCTCGGACACATAATTGTGACCTGGGCAAGTTACTAAGCTGTTCTGTTCCTCAGTTTGCTCATCTGCAAAATGAGATAACAGTTATACCCAGATCATAGAGTACTAATGAGGAGATGGCTTAAAATATTAAAAATGGCGACTCGTTCCAGTAAGTCAAACCTCACTTTTCGAATATCTTTGTTCTCAAACAGTTTGGTTCTCGACCAAGTCATTCACAGAAAAAAAGTCTTGGTTGTCTGACAAAACTTCCGGTCCCGATTCTCTACCCAACAACCTGTCCATGCTGATACCTGTATAATCAGTCACGCATCTCTCAGGAGACAAAGGAGGTTCAGTTTTCAAATCCCTTCTCAAACAGTTCTCTGGAACGTATTAAGTCCTGGAACCGAGGTTCCACTGTACCCAATCATTGTGTTTAGAAAATGCGTGCCCATTTATTTCACAGACTTTGTTCTCTGTACCGTCTTTCTACTTTTTTGTTTTTATTTTCTTATTCCAGACTTTATATACTATAGAAAACTTGGAACCTACAAGATACAGGACACTTGGGCTTTTAACTGCTTTTTTAGCATATGTCTCAAAGTTTAGGGCCTAGTTAAAATATGATTAACATTAATACACTACTTTTAAAGAACTTGTGGGCTTATAAGAATTATTTCTAAAACTCTCCTGATTTCTTGATTATACTCTTCACTGTCTTTGAGTTATTAATATACAAAACTAAATGTTTTAAGTGTAATGTCTATGGAACAACATGTATCGGTAATAAGATCTCCCCAGTGAAACTTCTCTGGGACTTGAATGGTCTCAGCAGTATATACACTTGAACCCGTGCTCATTCAACTAGATGCTCAGGCTGCCTGATGACCTCTCCCCTCTTCAGCAGCCTTGGTGTCATTTCTGAGATGTTACTTCACCTCTCAGTCCTTTGGGATATTGCCCTCATTTCATTACTAATTAAATTCATTTTTACAGTGTCATAAATTAATTATTTGAGGTAAAACTACCGAAATGTGTACCTCATTCCAAGATTGTTTAAAACTCTGGGTAATTAAATTTAAGAGTTATCATGTTACTCTTTATTAGCATTTGAAGGAAGTGACTAAGGGGAAATAAAAGACTTGTTATATAGTAGGACAGGCTGAGTCTTAGGAACAGGCTGAAAAGTTAGAGAGGGTTCATTCCGCCAGCGATGTTGTTTTGTTGTCCCGCAGGCCTAAGTTGGAAACAATTGGGAATCATTTCCAACTTGCTGATCTGACTCTAGACCAGAGCAAATGGGGTCCAGATCTAAGTTCATTTGTTGTTTTAAAGGCATTTTTATTTTATGAGCTGTCATGTCACTTTCCTATTTCTCGAGAGGCCAGCACAGGTTTCCTTGTTATGAACAAGTACATTAGATTCCTAATTGTTTGGTGATAACTTGATTTTCTTCTAATGAATGCAGCCTTGAGCATTCATAATCATCAAGAACAAGGTCCTTAGTGTTACATCAATATTTTACCCTGTTGGATTAGTAAATGTTTTGTTAATTGGCTAATCCGCATTTCTATTCAAAGAGCTTCTTTAGATAAATGACGCTTTTAAATAACACCCTCAGGAAAACTCTTGGCAAACAAACTGCTTTTCGACAAAAGGGTCTTAAAATAGCTTAGAGAAATATTAAAAAGCAAACCTTTTGAGAAGGAGATTAGACCTGGTTGTAAAACCCATAACTCATCCTTTCCCTCAGGACTGACTGACTTAAACAAAGGAATGTAATTTGGTTTTGCTCTTTGTGGTACCAAGATGATAGTTATTGAACTTCTTTTTCTTAATTTTTAAAAAGATTTTATTTATTCTTAGACAGGGAAAGGGAGGGAGAGAGTTAGAGAAACATCAGTGTGTGGTTGCCTCCTACATGGCCCCCACTGGGGACCTGGTCTGCAACTCAGGCATGTGTCCTGACTGGGAATCGAACTGGCAACCCTTTGGTTTGCAGCCCACACTCAATCCACTGAGCTACACCAACCAGGTCTTTAAAATTTTTTTTAATTTAAATTTGTTTATTTTAATTGTTGTTCAAGTACAGTTTTCTGTGTTTTACTCCCATCCCAGCTAACCCCACCCCAGTGCTCCCCACCTCCCTCCCATTTCCACCCCCTTTAGTTTTTGTCCATGTGACCTTTATACTTGTTCCTGTAAACCCTTCCCTTTTCCCCTGAAATTCCCTCTCCTCTCCCCTCTGGACAATGTCAGCCTGGTATTTCAGTGTCTCTGGTTATATTTTGCTTGCTTGTTTGTTTGTTATTTAGGTTCCTATTAAAGGTGAAATCATATGGTATTTGTCTTTCACCGCCTGGCTTATTTCACTCAGCATAACGCTTTCGAGTTCTGTCCATACTGTTGCAAAGGGTAGGAGCTCCTTCTTTCTTTCTGCTGCATAGAATTTCATTGCTTCCAGCTCTTGGCTATTGTAAATTGTGCTGCTATGAACATTGGGGTGCATAGGTTCTTTTGAATTGGTGTTTCAGGGTTCTTAGGATATAATCCTAGCAGTGAAATTGCTGGGTCAAAAGACAGGTCCATTTTTATTTTTCTGAGAAAATTCCATACTTTTTTCCACAGTGGTTGTACCAGTCTGCAATCCCACCAACAGTGAACTAAGGTTCCCTTTTCCCCACAACCTCTCCAACACTTGTTGTTTGTTTCTTTGTTTATGATGGCCATTCTGACCGGTGTAGTAAATGAATGGATCCAATAACTTCTGTTATTCTACAACCTGAAGCTCGGTAACTTTTGTCAACTCATACCTTTCATGAAAGAGCAAATCTGCTCTCCAGTGTTTCCCGTTGCCAAGGCTTCTCTACGGAGGTGGAGTGAACTAACAGCTGACTTGTTCCATTCAGCTCTCGGGTGACTGGCCTCCAGGAGATGATGGGATGTATTCACAGACGAGTGGATCATCTGACTGAACAGTGTTCGGCGCACAAGGAATTTGCTCTTAAGAAACAACAATTTGCAGCCTCAGTGGAGGGCTACCTAAGAAAGGTAGTTTCATAAAATGTCTCCTCCTTAAGCTACTATTTAGATAAACTCCTTGCTTGGTGATAATAGATGGTGTGGCAGTTGCAGCATATGGGCCTACAGGGAGAGGGTATGTGTGTGTGTCTCCTTAGGCTGTGCTCATGTTCCATATTTGGTTTTATCATTGAACAGAACAGAGTTGCAATTCACTGCTGCTCAGCAGCCATCCCTGCCCCGGTCACCAAACTGTGTACATAATCCCACTCACCACCCAGCCCTGAACACGCATTCACAAAGGCTGTCCTCACTTTGTGCAGACCTGTGTTAACTGAACCATGAAATATGAACCATGTACATATTTCAATGGAGTCCTTGATTTACATGATTCTCTGCATGGCTCCAATACACACAGATTTTACTTAACATGGTATCACACAACAAGAGGACCTTAGATCAATACAACAAACGATGGGTTTAGGGGTTCCCAGAGTGAGTTGCCATTATCATATGTTATTGAACCAGGCCAGAGCCGTGGACACAGTCATTGTGAATACAAGCACACACGTGGAAGTCCTCTCTGCAGAGAGAATAAAATGGCCTAGTGTGGGAGAATTTTCTTTTCTGTTTCAAAGCCAGGCAGACACTATTTGACTAAATAAAAAAATGACTTATCTGTAGGTGGGATGCATAGCAAACACTAGTACTAACACCTTAACGACATTCATGCTGATGGATCTCATTGCATATGTTGGGTGTCAAATTTTCAATGATATTTTCATTTGATAAAATGGATTTAATGCCTGACTTGAAACAAGCAGAACTGGTAGACTTCACAGGAGAGGTTATTAGATAATCATGTCTCTATTTAAATTGCCTCCCCACCTGTTATTGGTCCAGAAACTCGGGAATCTGAGCCTTGTTCTGATGCCTGGGTCCAGGGAGATGGTGGCAGCTGTGCAGCCACATTCCCTACAGCTTGGGCATCGGCTAATTTGGTGGAAACGCAGCAGGAACTCAGACAGCTGTTGCTCTTGTCTCACTGCCAGCTTAGAACCAGTGTGACTCTGGGAAGTATGGACTCTAGTCGGAGACCGGGATGAAGGCAGTATGTTGAATGGAATAGAACCTTTAAAGGCCGCTTAATTCATTGATTTGTGTGTACTGAGGATCAAATATAACCTTTTACATTCATTGGTTAAGTCACCTAAGTGTGTTCCAAACCACATGTACCGGTTTGGTGCTGCCCCAGGGTCCCGCAGTTTTAAAAATAGCAACCCATAAGGTGATCCAACACTCAGACTCTAGACCTCCACTTCAAAGTGTGCCTGAGAATCGGGCCCCATTCAACCTACAGTGGACAATTGTGAGTTAATTAGCTAGATAAATTAATCTCTGCTGATGTGTTGGCAAGTGCATTATCCTCTCTAGATAATACAGATAATAAATTCTTAGAAGGCATGGGTGATTGCTTTCATCTCATTGCTGTTAATAAAAAAGAAACATTTTTTACATATACCCTCTATTGGTGGGTCAGTAGTATTGCCTCTTATGGAGAGCAGCATTATTAACTTAAATAAGAAGTTCTAAAATACTTAAAAGTACTTTTAGATTAATATCGATATATTAGAATATAGTGGGAATGTAGAGAGTAGTATAATCTTTTCTATTCATATGCAAATACATATTACTAAGGCTACCATATATTCTTTTTTCCTAAAGGTGGAAATGTCAATTCAGGAAATCGTCCCAGTGCTTTCCAATGCAGTGGATGTTGGTTCCAGCCTTTCTGAGTCAGAGAAGATTTTGAGTAGATATCTGGAACTAGATATCCAAGCTAAGGTAAATATAGTGTGAATTATTATTATGGCTACAATTTTGTAAAGATGATCTCTTCATACTCAGTAGCTATAAAACTTAATCCTAGTTTACTTGAGGGTTAAAATTCTAAATTAATATTATGGCAAATGATCACTTAAAAACTCCTACTCTTCTGTGTATCTGAATAATTTATATTTATATGTACCCTCACAAGGGGGTTTGAGCTCACTGTAACTCAGTGTTCTTGCTTGGTATCAAATACTCATTTGGCCCCTTTTCCTGGCCTGAGAGATGTTAGCAGTCCTTCTGGGGTGCCAGAACAGGCAGAGAGAGTGCTTTTATAATACTATCTGTGATTTTCTGCCAGAGTAAGTTACAAAAGAAAATGACCAGAAGCAACATGCATTAACACAAGGTCCCAGGAGGCAAAAGCTGTTTGCACACTGAACCTGCAGGGACAGAAACTGCCCTGCTCTCCCCAGCACCTTGTCTGACTCCCTTTCACCCCTTCACATGGGGCTGGGTTTCAAATATTCCTTCCAGCAGCTCTGAACCTGCACTGAGTCCCAGCCCAACCCAGCAGGCATCTAGGAAAGTTGAGTTAAGACTCTTCCCTGGCCGGCCAAGGTCGGCAGGAAACGGCTGTGCATCCCCACCAGTTCTCAGCAGAAAAGCCTCCTTTGCAGAAACTCCCCCAGCCAAAACTCACAGAGAACCCCATTTTTAAATGAGGTCTTTTTAGTTCCTTATCTAAAATGTTTACATGTATTATATATTATGCTCATATATACACTGGTGGAAGATGATTTGGCTCTGGGGCACAGAGTGTATATACAAATTATGTAATGCAGAAATGTGCACCTGAAATCTGTATGATCCTGTTAACTACAGTCACCCAATAAGTTTAATTAAAAAATAATAAAACCAATGGCCTAAACCTTATAGACTATAATGTTATCAAATAAAGTTAGACCTACATAAAAAAACCATAAAATGTTTACAATAAAATGTGTCTGAATCCATTTTTTTATTCCAAAATTTTTAGAATTATGGACGGAATTGCATAAGAGAAACTCCACTCATCCTCCTTCCCCAAGTGCTGTCTGGGAGGAGCACTTGTAAATTAAAATCACCATCATTCAACGGAGTACAGGGAGAGCGTATTAAATACAAGTAGGGAAGCAAATGAGAATGGAGCTTGTTTCTTTCTTTTATGCTTGATTCCTAGCTTCATACCATGAAAATTCATGTGGTTCTTTCTGTGGCAATTGTATATGAAATGCTTACAAAATGTATTCATAATCGGGGGTTAGATTTCACGTGCCAGAAATAGCACTCAAAACGGCAGAGCAACCCTAAGCAAGACAAATTCACTGACCCGTCAGGCTATTTAGATCCCAGATGTAACACTCGCCCTACATGTGTTTAAAAATTCTTCTAGATAGCAACCCAAATAAGCCTGTGTAATCAATGTCATCTTTTATAAATTAAAAAAGGAGCAAACAATCTATATAAACTTGTCACACTATATATAAAAATTAATTTAAGAATTTGCTAGAGCTATTGTTAATTTCAGAAACATTTCTAATATATAATTATTTCATTTAAATTATTTAAAATATTTCTGCCATTTTGTTTTACCACCTTTCAGACCAAACAATTTTTCTTCTATTTGTAACACAAAATTTAGAATATTCTAAATAAGAAGTATAGCTGATAGAGTGGAAGAACAATTTGAGATGGTTTTTATTTTAAGATACAGATTTAAAAAAAAATTTTTTTTTAAAGTTGTGCCTTCCTTTTATTGAGAAGAGTCTTGGTACAAGTTCAATTAATAATCGTAATAGATGGATGTGCAGAAGGTAATGAAATGTGAATGTTCATGATTCCCTTGTCAGCTTCCGGCCCTCTGTGCTTTGCTTTCCTAGGAAACATCACATGAATTAGAAGCAGCTGCAAAACTTATGACAGAGAAAAATGAGTTTGAACCTGATGAAGTAGCATCGCTCTCTTCTAAAGCTAAATGGCTAGCGGAAGAATTAAACATACTCAGCCAAAGCATCAGCTCCAGGTCACAAGTTCTGCAAACCTTTGTGGCATTTCTAAAGTCATCAGAGGAGGTACTGGCCTTTATCAGCAATGTGCTGGCCTTTATGAGCCATGTGGCCTCCGCCCATCTTCCTGTGGGGATGGAAGCCCTGGTGGGTTGGTTGTTCTGTACCCTCCACCCCAGAGCATGCACTCATTGACAGGCCCTTTATTCACCAAGGCACCATATGGATACTAAAACAGTAAGTGGTTTTACTAAAACATAATAAAAGTATGTATGTGTAGATACACACATAAATAAGCAAAGTGATTGTGTTGAAACACTTTTACTATAGCCCATAAATACTTACACTATCCTAAACATAGAAAAAATGATTTAAAAATAAGTCATCTGCTAAACCACAGTTCTCTCTGAAGCCCTAAGCAATTCATGTGGCTCATTTAAAATACACCAAGTCAGAAATTACACTCTTGGGTCCATTCTTAGATTTTTTTTTTTTTCAGTCCTCACCTGAGGATCTGTTTCTATTGATTTTAGAGAGAGAGGAAGAGGGGGAGAGAGACAGACAGATAGACAGACATTGATATGAGAGAGAAACATCAGTTAGTTGCCTCCTGTATGTACCCCTACCTGGGATCAAACCTGCAGCCTAGGTATGTGTCCTGACCAGAGGCTGAACCTGAAACTTTTTTTTGGTGTAGAAGATGATGCTCCAACCAACCTTGCCAGGGCAGATCTGTCTTGTTTGATGCCTTTTAACAAGTTGCTTCCCAGAACTTCTTCTGAGGCACTGTTTTGACAGGGTTGTACCAGGCGATCTATAAATTCCCTCTAGTGGACCAAGATTCTTTCTCTCAGAGGCCCCAGTTCCTCGAAGATGATGTTATTTTTAGAAAAGTGCTAGGGTCCCAGTGCATCCAGGTGCATGTGGTTCACCCTCCTTTCAAGGTGGGGGGCACTAGTTTAGTGGGAGGTAGAGCCAGCAAGGTCCCTCAGGGGTAAAGCCAACCAAAGTTAGGTAGCACCTACACTTCCATCTCCTCTCTCCCACCCCCCCCCCCATCCAGCCTTCCCACATTTCTGCTGCTCTCGGTCTATAATATTCTGAATCTCTGTCCCTCTGGAGGAAGGGCATGACCAGTCCCTAGAAATCTCAGGTAACTGCTACCTCCTTTCCTGTCATTTCTGTCATTTCACCCCAAATTTTTATGGTTCAGCAGAGCTATAACAATGGACAAGATTATTCTGCTGACAAACATTTTTATTTGGAATTTGAAGTGGTGGAAAAGGTACAGAGAGGTGTTCATTTTCTGCATTTTTATTGCCAAAAATGTACCTTCTTGGCTTCTGGTTCAGTATGTACTTCCATGACCCATGCTGGGCCCTGAAGCTTTGGGTTTCGGGCTGAAGGTTTAGCTTAGTAAACGACACTTTCTCAGAAGGACCTGGTGTGCTTGCATCTTCCCAGCTTTCACGTCATCTGTTATCCTATCTGGCAGGGCCATCCTCCTGCTAGGCAGTGTTCTCCCTGTCACTCTCCTTCCCTCCAGGTCTTTCTCCTTCCCTCAGCAGCTCCTGGTTTCTCATTTGCATTCCATTCTCCATGCCCTCACCCTCCTTCCTTCCACCCTGACTCACCCTGCCAATTCCCGATACTACATCAGTCCAACACTCTGTTCACTCAACTTTTCTTTTCCAAGCTTTCAGATGCTCCTGCAGAAAGTCATGCAATTGTGCTCTGATTGGTGCTGTTACAAACGTATGGGTCTCTGCCTCAGCTGGGTCCTCCATATGCTGCTGGAGCCCATTCAGTAGCAGCTTGCAAACATCTTACACCAGTTTCCATACTTAAATCTCAGCCGGTGCTCTTACCTCACATCTGACTGGAAGAAAGTATGAGTCCATTGAGACTAACTGGCTTAGATTTCCAAACCAATTGATATATTCACCCCTCCTCCACCGTGACCAATAAAGTGAAGTCCCTACTTCTGACTAGCACCAATCGAAAATCAATCTCGCCTTGTATGTCTCTTTTCTTTTTTAATACTAATTTTATTTTTTAAGATCTTATTTATTTCTTTTTAGAGAGGGGAAGGGAAGGAACAAGAGGGAAAGAAGCATCAGTGTGTGGTTGCCTCTCACACACCCCCTACTGGGGACCTGGCCCTCAACCCAGGCATGTGCCCGACACTGGGAATCAAACCAGCCACACTTTGGTTCTCAGGCCTGCACCCAATCCACTGAGTCACACCAGCCACAGCCCTCCCCTGTATGTTTCCATATCCTTCAGAATCTAGCTCTGCCAGCCTCCTCTAGTATTTCTAATTTGCTTTTTCCATTACTTCCTTCTCTTTCCTCTACGGTTAGGCCCAAAGGGTCTTGCCCTCATGAAGGCAACCACTCTCTAATTTTCCTGCCCTTCACAGCTGGACTTTGGCACTGGACGATGACATTTCTCATCTCTACTAGCTCATTCTCTCCAGTCCTCACCCCAGAGCAGTTTAACTTACTTCCTTTTTAATCCTGCCATCTGCCATCTCTTCATTCCACTGAAAATGTCCTTATAAACCACATACTGATTGACAAATGGTTTATTTTCAATCTTTATCCTGCTTAATCTCTCTGCTACATTTATTTAGTCCTGTTATTCTTACCTCTTTCAGCTTAAAAAAACAGATTTTTGAGGTAAAATTTACATAGCATAGAATTCATCAATTTTGGAGAACAGTGATTTTTATTATAGTTATTGAGTTGTATGACCATCGCTGCACCCCAGATTTAGAAGTTCCAGCACCCCACCGAGCCCTGGGGCACTCTTCCAGTCCATTATGGTTTCTGCTCCCAGCCTCACACAAGCACTGACCTGCTTTCCATCTCTGTAGATTTGCCTTATTTGGATATCTCACATCGTTAAGGGGAGTCACTCTGTCTACTCCTTTATCAGTTCCTCCTCCCTTTTCCTAATTCAGTTCTCTGTTCCTGAAGTGTGGCGGGTCCCAGAGACCTTGCCTGTGCTCTCTCTTACACATTCTACGTGCTTGTCCTATAAAATTTACGCACACCACCACCCATGATTTCAGTTCACCAATAGCTGAAAAATGGTTCCCCAGCCCCAACAGTTCTCAGCCAATGCTTTCAACGTCCAGTCATACTCATTACCTGTGTATCCTGGGGGCTCCCGAAGCTCAACAAAACACAACAGGTTGTCTGTTCCTCAAACGCGTTTTCTTTTGTACCTTGGTGTTGGGTCAGTGACCACATCATCTTTCGGAAATCTTACGTAGAAGCTTCTAGGTCTCTCAGTGTACACTTATTTTGTACCAACCCCTATGTTTTTCATTTCTGAGTTTGTTTAACCCTTACAACACTTCTGTGTTTACTTACTAATATTCTATTTTACAAATGAGGGAAACTGAGGCTTTGAGAAGCTAGGTATACAAGATTAAACACCCAGTGAACATTAAAACTGATATTTAATCCTCAATCTCCTCTCGTTTTTTCCTATTTCAAAGGCCATGCAATTCAGTACCTGTCTACAGACAGACACGACCTAAAGGATTTCTGAACCCCCTCCTCTCCATTTGCACCATCTCTTCCTCGGTTCAGGCCCTCATCATCTCTTTCCAAGCTTAAAGAAATCACCTCTGCCCAATCTCTCTGTCTCCTATAATTTTCCCCTTCCACTCCTCCTTTCAGAAATGGTCATTCTAAAGCAAACTTAATCATGTTACCTCCTGAAATTCAGGCACTTTGACAGATGTAATTTGTGAAGCAAGCTGTAAATAACTTATCAAAACTGGATAAAGTTTTAAAGTTTATTATTAATTCACTCAAAAATAAACAAGTACAGATTCAAGGGAATTCCTATAATGATAGCATTCTCCCTTGCCTTCAAGGAGGCTTTTGGAACAGTTGGAAAAGGCAGATGAATTAAAGTCTGTGTTTGGAGAATTGCGCCTAACTGACAGCTGATCAAATTGCACCTAACTGACAGCCAGTCTGTGGTGCTCAGTCCTGCTGAAGCACTAATGGGTCTCAGGCTGCTTCCGAGTCACTGTGATAGCTAATGAGAATGTGTCACATCATGCTGGTCACAGTAGACAATGAACTGAAACCTGTAGCAGGGGTTTTTCCCAACACAATTATCCCTCTAGCCTCCTTCTTACCGCTCAGCTTGTGCAACTGAACTTCGCCCACACTAAGATCATTTATCAAGCCCTGAACAGGCCAATACTCCACACATGTTATTCCCTCTTACTCTGAACAATTCTGAAAGACACAAATCAAAGGTCACCTGTTTGGGGAAGTCCTTCTCTATCTACTCAGTGTAGAGTTGGCGGTCCCTCTGCAGTGTGACCAGTGTGTATATCACCCTTGTGTTGCAATAACTTGCTTTTGATTATCTTTGTTCCAGAACTATCTTTGGGAACCCAAGGAAATAAATGCATAATTCTTACTAGGAAATCCTAGAAGACTCCATGGAGGACGTAGCATTTTAACTAGCTCATGAAGGATGAGTAGGAGCGCAAAACTGGGAAAAGGTCATTCTGGGCTGAGGAATCCTACATCAGCAAAACAGGGCCAGGAATAAATGGAATGTGGGAAATGAGAGAGCACTTCCATGCTCTCCATTCGTAGGCCCTCCTATTAAGTTCATTTAAATTAAGAATGTTGTTAAGGTCTTTAAATGCAGTGACTAACCATTGTCTGAAGTTTGTCACCCTGTTCAGATGGATTTCAGCAGTTATGAGCTCTTTGAGTCTTGTCTTATTGGCCATTAAGTATTATTCAAAATACATATAAACTTATGTCAAAGATTTTTACTATTTCTATATCAGTCAATTACACATAAAGAACTATATTTTTAGTTCTCCAGGCACATTTGATTTTGTTTAAGCTCTTTCCAAAGAGAGTGATTGAAAATAATCTAGTACTGCTTACATCGGTTAGCAAATGAAAAAAATATAATTTTAAGGAGGTGAAGTAATCTAAGAGTAGCTTATGAAAGCAGTTTAATATTAATATTTATATAGAAAATTAGTAATTATGTTTACTTTTATTCTGGTTTATCACTGATTCACAGCAAATTGTGATTTACTAAAAATTTTTCACTGACTCACATTATTTCCTTGGTCACATACGTATATGTGTACATATGTATGTATATGGCTTTCCTCTGAATTACAAAAGTCAGCTTTAAATAGAGCCATGCCAGTATTTGACATAAATTGTCCCCAGTTGCAAAACATACACATATATAAAATACATAAACATGATTTGAGTTATGTAGGTCTTATAGGTAATAAGCTCATTTGCTCAATTTACTCCCCAGTGGTAGTCCTATCTGGAAAAAACCTAGATAGATTTTCATGCCTGTTAAGTAAATTGACAATATTTAATAATTATTTAAAGCATTCTGAAATGTAGTTTTCATTTTATTTTTATGTAGGCTTCTATTGGAATCTAGCGTCATTTTTTCTTTAAAAATGTTTTTAAGTGTCCTTATTTTGCATTTATATTCTCTCTTCCCCTCCCCCTCCCCCCCTCCCTCCCTCCCTCCCTCCCTCCCTCCCTCCCTCATTCTCTGTCTCCACCACCCTCCAGGCAGAGGGGCAGTGTCAGCGCCTGAAGGAGTTTTACCGAGCCGCCGCGGACCCACGGCAGGAAGGGGAGACCACAGAAGCTAAGCATCGGTCTGACTCAGTCGAGAGGCAGTGGCTGCTGTTTTTGAAGAGAAGTTTTTTAGTTCAAGACCTAGGGCTTGAGTTTCTTAATTTAATGAATATGGTGAGAATGACATTATGTGCGTCACACCATCCGCGAGGATTACTTGTCAAAGTCAAAATCATAAATTCAAATGTTCAGCTATCACTTAATCAGCAACGTGGGTTTAGAAAGTTCTTTTTTAGCTTCATTCAACCTCAAGCAGTGCTGAAGCCCAGCATTCCCATGTTTATTGAGTCCTAGACTTCTCATAAGTTTATAACATGAAGGCTTTTCCAGCCGTCTAGAAAACAGAGTGACTGTAATCCAAATGCACCATTTTTATTATTACATAGAAGTTCACCCGAAAGTTCTGTCAAGGTCCTTACAGAGGTTCCAGTGGCTCAGGTCAACATCTAGGGTGAATTTTCATCTTGATGAATTTCCTACTGTAACAGATCTTCTTATAGTGACGTTCCATTATATTTAGAAATGTGCCCTCCTAAGCTTTAGTTGACAACTTGTATCTGTAAAATAGTCTAGAATCCTTATATCAACTGCCAACCCATCTGAAGTTCTCTACAGAATTCTTAAAGGATAGCTAGTCCTCTTCTCCTTCAATACCTCAAGAATCTTCTGAATGAAACTGCTCATTCCATTGTTAGATAACACCAGCTGCTAGAAAACATTTTTTTAAATGCGAAGGCAAATCTTACTTCCTATCTGGTTCTATCCCTCTGTAGCTACACAAAGGGGGAGGGAAAGTATTCATACTGGATTTGAAGAACATGAAAGTTCTTCAAACATTGAAAATAGTTGCTATATCTAGTCTGAGTCTTTTTCTGCAGCAAACCACATGAAAACCCTTCCTATAATTTATGAGTAGCTTTATTTCTCTCTCCATCCTGATTCTTCCTCCCAGAAATTCCTATGTTTTGTCAAAATCATTCATAAAATATAACCAAAAAACTAAGTACAACTGCAATGCAGAGTACAACAAAGGGACATCATTCTTTACTAATGAGACCTAAGATGATCATTCATTTTTAGCCATGATTTTACATGGCTGATTCCTATTAAACTTGTGATTGAGTAAAACTCTCATGCATTTTTCTTATAGTTCCCACCAAGCTGGTCTCTCCCATTTTATAAGTGTCAGCTATTCATCTTTTACATATAAACGTGGGTCTTTCTATTTACCCCTATTTAATGTTATTTTGTTCATCTTCACCCACGATTCCATCTCGTCAAACTAATTTTGGACTTGCTGTCCATACATTAGCCATCTCTCCTGGGTTTAATTCTACCCCCATCTATCTAACGTCTTATGATTTGCATAATCATAACTTGGCAGAAATCAGGTTGACTCAGAGCGATCAAAGAATTCTTTCCAAAATGTTCACAAACTTCTTGATCAACAATGAACTTATTGCCCTGGCTTTCATTGTAAAGCTTTCCAATCTATAAACTGTGTAACCCAGCCTTTCCCCCCTTTGAAAGTCAAAGCATTTTTCTTTCTCTGATTTTCCGGCCCTTCACCTTTTTCTTGTAGCTGTGCAAAGATAACTGACATCTACAATTTTCTTAGTGCTCTGAGATGTGATTAACCTCAGTCCTGAGCCTGAATTCATTTGGAAGAGTTAGGTTCTGTCTAACTATCCTCATCTACTTTCAGCTGCAATTTTCTCTTTATCTTCTTTGTTTTTTGGCTCAAATCCTAGGGCTTGAGTTCCTTAATGTAATAAGTATAGTGAGAATGACATCATCTTCTTTGTCTCAACCTTTGTTGTTTAAAAGGCCATTCTTGTTCAATTTGTTGAACAAAATATGGGAAGCAAAATATACATCAAACAGTTCTAATACATCTTACACTATCTTTGAGACTCACAGGAAACTTGCCAAGCGGTTTGCCCATGTTCTTGTGGTGTTTGTTGTAAAAAACAATTAAGTTATTTTTTCATTTAGAACATGTATTATCTATCTACCTACCAACAATCTATCTTTACATTTTTACTTTGTTCGGTTTATATTCTTCCATCTCCTGATTGTGTACTTCTCTGATAGGCAATCATAAGAGAATTTAAATATTTGCAAACTGCATTTTTTTTTTTTGCCTATTACTAACTTCATTTCAGGAATTTTACTTTCCATGTCTGAAGTTTCCATTTGGCTGTTTCTTATTAGATATCAATTGCTGATGAAATTCTCTTTCTTGTTCTCTCTTTCTTCACCTTTGCTATACTTTTTTTAACCATATTAATCATGGGTGTTTTGAAGCGCATGTCAGCTGATTCCTACATCTGGGTCTGGAGTTGCTTCTGTCGTCTGCTGTTTCTCTTGCTTTCCAGTCCTGTGGTCCTGTCTTGGCAGAACTAGTAAAAATTTATCAGATATCAGGCATTATGTTTTAAATTGCATATTTTACTACTGTCATATGATAGATTCCTCCTTATTGATAAGAGTTCTGGTTCACATAAGAATTTACTTTATCAGTTCAGTAACATTCTGAGATAAGAAATGGTTTGTAAAGCAAGTGAAACACATTTTACTTCTCTTCATATCTTTTGGACTGTTAGGCTTTGAACAAACATTACTGTTGAAATTTGGTAACCAGTTTGCCTGTTAAGAGGGGAGAGTGCCAGCTGGCACTGTCTGCTCAGTGTTCTGCTCTTGATTAGGGTGCCATGGCTCATATTTTCAAGCTGGAAATTGAAACTTTTTCAGTTCACCTAAAAATCAGCAAGACTGGAGAAGCCGATTTAAGTGAGAAACCGGGCAGGCATCTTGATGAAAGTGCCCATTTACACGCTTACTGTGGTGAATACCAAGAACGCTAGATGGGATGCCTGCCTGTTATTGGGGTATCTAGAAAGCACAACGTTAGAAGACCATTTACTGTGCCTGCGTCTGAATGGCAAACAGACCATTTAGCGTCCTTACACAGAAGTAGAATGAGTGGTATGTTTACTGACCAGACCCCAGATAGATTATTCAGTGTTCCTGTGGGGTCAAAATACCTACGTCCGCCAAATACATAATCACTCTTTTTGGATCTTGCCATCGGGGCATCAACAAACCCTGCCACCGGTCTCCTTCTCTAGACCTCCCTCGGACCAGCATGGCCTGCTGACTGTAGCTGTCATGGACATGCTACGATTTCCAAGTGTACATTGATTTATGTATTATATTACATTTTGATTATTAGTTTCTTAATGATGTGTGAAAGATGCCCTAGTTTTATTTATAGTGTAGATAAAAATTATGATGTGGGGTGCATTCTGCTGAAGTTGTTTAATATCTTTCATAACATTTAGCATCTTGTTAGCCATAATTATAGAATGTATCATTTCATTCCTAGATCCCCAAATTCATGGACAAAATCTCATTTGGGACCTGCAACTATATATTTGTTTAATTAATTGGCACTTTATAATGTCTAAATTAATAATACAAATATGCAATAGTAATGTTTAAAATTATTTTTAAGTGAAGTAACCTATTATTTTAAGTATCTTATTATATTTTTATGACACTGTTTTCTAACTATAATCTGAAAGGTCCCTTGACTTTTTAGATATTTAGTTGACATTGTCATTATAGAAATCCACATACATTTGCTTCTTAGAAATTCAAGAATTTACTTTGATGACATCAAAGTAAAAGTCATTATTTTGCCAAACAAATCTTTTTCCTCAGTTTTTGATGTTCGCACATGAAGTAGCATGTTGTCTTCTTCCTTTTTACCTCTCATTATTCTGCCTCCAACTGAGTTTCCTCTTGTTTAAAGCCATTGTTGAAAGGATTTCAAACCAGTCAGCCAGAACCTAAAGTGGGGAAGAGAAGTCTTGAGATTTAGAGACTGTGCTCGTGGTGCCCAGTGGGGACGCAAATACAGAGGGAGGTAGATGCACTTTTCCGGTCTCACAAAAGGGAGCGAGTTGAGGAACTGCTCACAAGGGAAACTTAAAATAGTTATCATATACACAAGGAGATAGTTTAAAGAAAAAACAGACAGAAAAATATGCCCCTCATACTCCCTGAGACTTTGACATCTGTTATTGAGCATGTTAAAATGAAAGGTAGAATGCACTTTAAAAATTATGCATTAAAATAACCTTGACTTTAAGAATACAGAAGTATTCTTCTGTATCCCAGAGTTCATTCAGTCACCCCCTCCAGCCCCAGAAGGTGACTCCAACATCACTGAGGTCCCAGAGAATGCAGGGCCTGCTGTCCCAGCACGGAACGTGACTCCTGAGAGCCCAGCCCTGCAGGCACTTCTGCCTGGTCTTGATATCAGAACTGCCCATGCTCCGCTCTGGTTGTGATCAAGTGTTTGCCTCCTAGAGTAGTTATATGCAAAAATGTTACAGTTCTTGGGAAAAGGAAGCCATTATAGGAATTATTTATTTAACAGGCACGAGAGAACGAAATATTAAATGTGAAAAATAAAGTGCATTTTGTGGAGAACGCTATGGAAAGCCAGAAGGCAGAAAGAGAAGAACTCAGCCGCCTTCGGATGGCATGGCAGCTTACAGCCTCTGCAAGCAGGCCTGGGAAACAGCAGTGGGGAGCCTTCAAAGAGCAACTTAGAAAGGTGAGGGAATAGGCAACGGGTGTTATTCAGCCTTGCAAAAGAAGGAAATTCTGGCATGTGGGACGACATGGAGGAACCCTGAAAACATTATGTTAAGTGGAAAAGTCAGATACAAAGTGAGAGATATTACATATTCCACTTATGAGAAGTACCCGGGTAGTCAAATCCCCAGAGAAAGAATGCGGAATAGAGGTTACCAGGGGCTGAAATGAGGGTGGGAATGGGAGTTGGTGTTTAATGGGTGCAGAGTTTGCATTTAGGGATGATGGTATTTGGTGATTACACACCAATGCGAAGGTACTAATGCCCCTGAACTGCACACTTAAAAATAGTTAAATTGCTAAATTGGTTATGTACATTTTACAACAATAAAACCAAAAGAGGGAAAGAAAATGAGGGCCTATGCTTTTCTTCACTGATGTGCTTTAGAACCACAAGCTCACGCCAGGTGGTGAGTGTTCTGCTGGGGACAGAAAAGTTGGATGACACACCGTGTCATCACTGGAATGACCCTAATGCATTTCCTGGCAGTGGCAAAGAAAACACGCGTAATCGCCCGTTTATTTCAGACTACTCACAGCTTAAAGCTCCTTCAGGAAGCACTTACTCCTGTGTCTGCACTTGACCTTGGAGGGAACCTCCAGACTACTCTAGGTCTGAGGAAGAAATGGAACACAATGAAGCCTCAGTTCCAGGTAAAGAAGCAAACCGATGGACTTGGGTGAATGGAAAATTTTTTTCACTGTTTGGTTGCAGTTTACCTAGTTAATTTTAACAGACTGGTGAATTGCTATTTTTTTAAAACAAAATCATTGCTTGACGTAAAATATCCAGTTAAAAACAATTTTCTTACTGTTTTTCTGCACTATTATGGATTTGATGACATACAAATATTTGAGCTACAAAAAAAACCCTAAAAGTAATCTTACCTTAGATTATTTTAATTTACATCAAATTGTTTTCTTATTGTTTTCATCATATGTATTTACTGTAGTTACTTTCTAAGGGGTATAGACATGTTTTAGATCAAGCATCTCAGAACAAGGAGGAGCAAGCTCTGATACAGAGGCTGTGCTGCCCTCTGCCCCTGGAATGGCCCCATGACGTCACTGTCCCCACCCACTGCTCCCCCAGGCTCCTAGCACCCTCCCAGGAATTTGGCTGTGCTCTCCTATTTTCTTTCTCTGAGAGCCCTCAGGATGTGAGAGATAAAAACCATGAGTCATTTTCCCAGGCCCTGACTACTAATGCATTCCAGACCCTCACCTCCCGACACTCCTAAACTTGACGTAAACGCCGAAAATGGTGGTCCGTCAGGTAATCCTCCTGCCTGGATTCTTGTCCATTGCTGCAAAGTTGAGATACCTGTGTTTCTGTTTGCCACTACTTTGTAAGTGTTGGCTTTAAAGAATCCTGGAATTAGAAGTTTGAAGATTCCTGTAGAGAATATGTAATTTACATTCCTTTCAGACAAATCAATATAATGTAGAATCACCCCTCCCCCACCAGCACACACACAAAACACACAACATTGTAGCCCACAGTGAACTCAGAAAATCTAGTTAGCCTTCACGTCAGTTTTACTGATGTTCCCTGAGTCGCATGCTTATCGTCATTTCATGTGTGCTCAGGTGCACATCGTGCCCTGCACAGGCAGGAGTGTGTGTGTGTTTAAGTTCCTCTGAATTAGGGACTAGAAAGCTTCTTTACTGCTGTCTCTGTGATGTGCAGGGACACATCAAATATGTCACTCTGTGTGTGATATATTTGATATCCACATGCTCAATTGGAGATTCTTATTAGATCATTCTCCTGCAAATTACCTCCTTATCCTAAATAATTTCCATTGTTTTTGTCTTTGCTCTAAGATTCAGTCCTGAAATTACTGGAAGTTCCTCTCTGAGTTGTCCACACTTGGTACATCCTACCCCAGGATCTGGACTTCGATGAGGGATATCTGAGTAGTGCTGGGTAAAAGGAAAGGCAGTTTATCCCTCCTGCAGGCAGTGGCTATTTGTGGATTCTGGGACGCCCACTTTTAAAGCAGCGTATCACGGTGCTACTCAGCTGTGGTTCATTCTGATCATTCTTTTATCACAGAGGACAAGTGATTCCCCTAATATCTTTATATACTTGTCTTCTTCTGGTGTTCTTACCCTACCACCTGATTCTAGTCTGTGTTAAATATCAAAGGTGATCATAGCTTCATAAAATAAATGAAATTCATTACTTAGCAGATGACTAGAATATTGGGTGAGCTACAGAAATATATGACTTTCCATTTCACCACCTAACTTTAAAATTAAGACTTTTTTTCATTGCTCATAACCTAAAAACTTTTTCTGAGATGACGGAGATGGAATAATACACCCCCAGTTTTAAACACAATACCTGGATTTGCAGGGGTTGGGGTGAGGGCAGCCATCATATTTTCATTAATAAATGATAGAATAGTTGGCTATTTAGATTTTAATGTAGTCAATTGTAAAGTAAAAAGTTCTCTAAAAGCTGGATTTCCTCTGTCGCTGTTGACGTTTCAGCAACTGAATGATGAGGTTCGATACATTATAAAAGAATCAGAAGCGTTAAATGGCAAAGGAGCCCCTGTGAAAGAGAAGTCTCAGCAGCTGAGGGATCTCATTCACCTTCATCAAAAACAGCAGGAGAGAATCCGCGACTACGAGGACGTCCTGTACAAGGTAGTCCAGTTCCACCAAGTCAAGGAAGAGGTGAGACCTGTCACAGATACCCGAGAGACCCTCAGTTTTAAACTATGCAATTAAACATAAAGTATTGTATAATAAATAGAAGCCAAATTGCTTATTCTGCCATTAGAAGCTTCCCACAACCGGGCTTCTAACCTTCCTCTCACTCCACACTCCCTTACATCCCAGCCAGCCGGCCTGCAGACCCCCGGACTACCCTTTCTCTCTTCGCTGTCCAAACCCTGCTTCCAGTGACCCTCTGTCACTTGGGATGACTTTCTTCTCTTCTGAATTTCTAGAACTCTCAGTGATTATTCCACACTTTCGTCATTTTAGCATCTTGATTTTTAATTCCTTTTTACCCCCAACTCAAGTGTAAGCTCTTTGAAGAAGAAAACAAATGCAATTTTTTGGTATCTCAAGTAGTGGCATCTTAGAACACTCAGTGAAAATTCATAGTTAATAGAAATAGCCTCTATTAATAAAAATGGAGATTATTGATATCCTTTAAAATGGCCTCCAAATTTACTCACAGACCTACATCACAGACCTAAGTCTCCGTAAGATTTCAGGCTATGACCAAAAACAGTGTTTTCTTCTTTAATAGAAATGACAACAGTAACCCCTCAGCTTTACCCTGTTGATTTGCAGCATTGTAACTCTTATTTGGTAATAACACTAACAACTGTAGATGGGCTTGGCCGCATGTGACCAGCTAGTAAAATGTGTGACAGGAAACAGGCTTTAAAAACCTGTTTTCATTAAAATGAAGTTCATGTTAATTGTTAACGCTCTATTCCAGCTGGAACGTCTCATCAGATCAAGAGGGTTGGTGTTTCCAGAGGAGCTGACGGACCCTGATAACACCCAGGATGCCCAGGTTCAGCTCAGTCGCTCTCAGGAAAAGCAGGCTCATGCAGACCATCTCCACAAACTGGCCCTTTGCCTGGGAGCGGACGTCATCTCGTCAGTGCAGCGGCCTGTAAGCCACAGAGAACGCCATCGCTCTGACCTGAACCCAGCTGGGGGGGTGGGGGGGGGGCGGTTCCATAGGGCCACACCAGGCAGGCTGCCTACTAGATGCCACATTTAATAGTACATTACATTTCAGATAAGATCAAATTCAAGGAGTTCATCATCACCAAGCCCTTATTATATGAAATGTTAAAGGGACTTATCTAAGAAAAAGAAGTTAAAAAAAACTTGAACAGTGAAAGGACAGCAAACTCACAGTTATTAACAACCACACCTAAAACAAAAGCAAACTAAAAGGACAGCTAGATCAGGAGCAGAACCATAGAAATGAAGATCACATGGAGGATTAGCAACAGGGGAGTGGGAGAAGGAGAAGGGGGGAGAAGGTACAGAGAATAAGTAGCATAGATGGTAGGTAGAAAATAGATGGGGGGGAGGGCAAGAATAGTAGGGGAAATATAGAATCTAAGAACTTGAGACATGTGGACATAAACTAAAGGGGGGGGGGAATGGTGGGGAGGGGGGGGTAGGGTGGAGGGGAATGAATGGGGGAATAGAACAACTGTAATGGCATAATCAATAAAAAATAAATTTAAATAAATAAATAATAATAACACCTAAAAAATAAAATAAAATAAAAGTACATTACAACATTGGGTAGTGATTTGTGGTGAGTTCCTACCACCTATAACAACAGAAACACATTTCAAGGAGGAAAAATCTGATTCGATAATAAAAGTCTTGTTTAATACATCTGTTCTCATGCTAATTTGAAAAATTGTACAGATGTGTTATGTAATACAGTAGTCTTTTTTTGCATTTGAAATATGCCTAATGCAACTAAGAAACTAAACTTCTATTCTAATTTAAAAATGGATACAATGCAGTTACTGGAAAACTTTTAAATATGTTAATAAAAACTTGGATATGGGAATCTACATTTTAAAGTATATACTTTATGAAATTTAAATACAGGGCAAGTATTTCTGATAGAAATTTAACAAAAATTGATATGTGCTATGAGTGTGAAATGCACACCAGATTTCAAAAACTTAGTGTTAAAAACTTACTAATATTTTTTAATTTGGTCATGTGGTAAAATGTTGATATTGGACATATTTTGTTAAACTGTATTGTGAAAATTAATTTCACCTGTTTTTATGTTCTAAAATAACTACTAGGAATTTAAAATTATTTATGTGGCTCACGTTATATTTCTTGGACAATGCTGATTTAGCATTTCAGATCTGCAAGGTGTCTTAAAGACCATTTAACCTGATTTCATAGATGAAGAATCTGAGACCCAAAGAAGTTATTTTATCCCCCAAACCCCAGAATGAAAGAGCCTCCTGGTGGAGATCAAAAGCTCTGGGCACTAGACATTGGGTCTGCTTTGTTTCACTGGACGGACATTACAGAGGTTTATAGAAGGCAATGAAATAATTCCAGACCATATTTACATAAGTAACACATTAAGCTCTGATTTAATATATACAAGGTCTGTCCAGAAGGTATCCAGCCATATAACATGAAAAATAGAGACATTTATTGAAGAAGATACAAGATACGACAGATAATGTTCATAGGACAATGATGCCTCAGTCCCCTTCAAAGTAAGCACCTTGGGACTTCACCCAGTTCTCCTAATCACCATTAGCTGCCCCATCGTGTTTTCCTGAATCTCGTTGATGGTCTGAAATCTCTTCCCTTTCAAAGGTGTTTTTAGTTTTGGGAAAAGCTAGAAGTCACGTCTGGGCTGTAGGGGGCTGAGTCACCTGGGTGATCTGATGTTTCACCAAAAAACTCTGCACAAGATGTGATGCAGGAGTGGGCACATTTTTGTGATGAAGCTGCCAGTCACCAGCTGCCCATGGCTGTGACCTTCTCAATCATCCAAATAGTTTCTGCTTAGGAATGTTCAAGTTTAATGCAAGATTTGATTCAAATTCATTACTCACTCACTCATTTTGAATGTGAGAGCCACACAGCACTCATCCACACTCAACAGCATCAAACTCCCCCGCTGACTAGTACGGTGAAGTCATCATTGTTCATGCACATGAATTCTAGTCCACTCCTTGGCTGCCAGGCTACATCAATGTTGTGCAAACCGTTTTCATTATATTAACAATGGTTGGACTTCCACCAGATGGATTACACACACACATACACACACATTTTCACACACGTTCCCTAAATTCCTAATTTAAGGGACCAAATATTATATCTGTCCTATCCAATATGTAAAATATTAACAAAATAATAATGACCAACTTTATGTTAAAGTTTATTTAAGACATCCAGTAAACTACATGGAATGCACTGAACCTAAAGTATTTTTTTAACTGAAAGAGACAGGAATATGCAGTATCTGTCACTGTTGATAGAATCTATTTTCACCAAAAAAGGAGCTTTCTTTTTAAAGAGCTTTATTTTATTAGTAAATTTATTTTTAAAAGAAAAAAAGTAAAATTTCTCCCTTTGCACAAATAATGTAAATTGCTCTGCAGCCTGCATCAGGCCTTGGCCTCGGCAACCCTCTGCTGAGTGGAGACGGGGCACTTGCTTGATGAACCTGAGGTTGAGCTCAAGTTGACAGGAAAATTACAGTGCAGAAGCCAAGTGTTCCTAATGCATATTTTATGCCTTTTGAAGTAAAAATTAGACCTTATAATGAATGGTGTCTCTGAGGAGTTGGGTATGATGAGCAAACTTCAAAACAGAGGTGTCAAGACTTGAAGACTAATGGTTTGCCTTTTCCGTCATGTTGGGTGTCTGGCTTCTTTCTGAAGTCAGTATATTCAAATGTGCCTAAGCTAAAAATCAGGAGTGTCTATTTTTTTAAGTGTCATTTATGAATTTCCTAATGCATGTGACTAGCACATTTGTCTCACTGCTGGTTTGCCTGTTCCCTTTGTTACCGCCACTTCTCTTTCACTTTTAGAATTGCTCAAATGCATCTGCAAAGGACCTACAGCAGCAGCTAGATGTCCTCGAGGGGGAGAGAGTGACCTGGCGTGCCAAAGCCGAGGCAGATGAGCGGACACTGGCCCGGAGCTTGCAGTTCTGCACCACGAGGGACGAGATAACTGAGGTGGGTGGTAGGGGTCCGAACCGACACAGCACCTAAAGCGTGTGTCTGAACCTAAAGCACGTTAACTCAGTGTCCGTGCCTGTACATGCGCACACACAGAATCAGGCTTTTCCTTCACCCTTGACCTTTAATCCATGGAGCAGTGGCCTCAGAACGCAAAGTCTGAGTCAACTTCGATCTCCCAAACTTGTTGAAATCAGTACATTGACAACGTGTAGGAAAACCTGGAATTTAGTGTGACAGTTTACAGTACACTTTTTTCTCCCCCACTCGTACCCTTACAGCACTCATTTGATTGAAGGAATACAGCCTCCCAGGGCAGAAAGGGTGACACTGGCCCCTGGCAGCCAGCTCCAGCCTGCTGAGATTCTATTTAAGTGCCACTGACTCATAGTGAAGCCGGTGCTAAGGGCCAGGAGAGCAGGCTCTTCACCTCAGAGACTACAAAATATTATCACCAAAGTCAAGCGGCTGGTTTCATATTTATTAAGAGTGGGTTTTCTGGCAAAACAACTCCTAGATAAAAAGAAATATCAAATAAAAATTGTCTCTGCATCAGTATACCCCTATCACATAATCCTCTCCCTCAGTTCTCCTTGACTCCCATCCCCCGATACATATCGAACCACAAGCACCACCCTCCCTTAGTTAAACTTCTATTTAAAGCCTTATGTGTTTAGGAGAGCAAGGGTCCCAGTTCTTGACGGAGAATTGACAGAACACAAGGCAGCATAATTTCAGGCCCATTAGTCACAAATCCATTTGGAAAGAGGGTGGGGGAAGACGGAAGTGGTACACCTTCTTGAACATTGTTTATGACCAGTTTACACAGTCTAGGCCCAACACATATCACACAGTATCCAACAACACTAGAGCATGGACTAAAGAATTTGTAACTAAGCTGGAGCAGTGGTGGAGCTCCGACGTGCCCTCTCCTGCAGGCTGCCTTTTTACAGAGCAAGGGCAAGGGCAGGAGGCAAGCTGGGCTGCAAGGGAAGGCGGGGAGGTAAGAGGAGGAGAGAGCAGGGGAGGCCACTTGGATCCCATTCAGCAGGAGGGAAGCGGACACTGACATTAGAAACAATGTTCATTTTAGCAATGTGCCGCAGGATTGCAGAGTTTCTGCTGGGAATCAGTGTTCCAGGAAGTCATTTTGAGTAAGAGATTCATTTGGTATTAAACCTGGAGGGTGTCCTGCCCTCTAGGTAGTAGAGTGGCCTCTTCCAGTTCCTGTACTGCAGCTAATAACACTTCAGTCAGGGCTTGGTAAGGAAAGCAGTCACAAGGAGAGTGTTATTCTCCCCGAGGTTATACATTCTAGATTTGCTGCCATGAAAACTATTTGTTAATTATCATTCTCCAACATTATCTTCTTTCTTCTTCCTTCTCCCCATCTTTCTTTTCTGCCCTTCTTCTCCTCCTTCTGTTCTTCTTTGTCTTCTTCATGGTAAACTTTATGTCTTGCCGAAAATCACCCTCCCATCCATGATGTGCAGCTCTCCATTTACTGAAAACACAAGTGAAGCTGGCTAAGGTTTAGTCCCAGGGCCCTATGGCTCAGTTTCCAACTCCCTGAAGGGCCGTGGCATTTATGGGTCTGGGTATCCCTGTTCAGGCCCTTCCCACAGTTGATTCTGCTTACAGGGACTGCCTCATGATGAGCCTGTGCTGGGAGCCAGCTGGCAGGGACAGCAGACCACTCTCCCAGTCATAGTAGGGATGCCCGGGCTTGTCTGTACCCTAACAGGAATGAGCAACCAGATACGTGCAGGTTTGATTCAGGAATCAGATATCATTCTAACATGGTCTTAAACATTAACACAGCTATCCTTCCTATTTGCTTCTACTTCAGATCCAACTAATCTTTGAAATAGGTTATAGTTTCGCATTTAAAGGTTCTTTGAAAATCGTTGGTCCTTTTCCCCCTTTCCTTTTTTGTATAGCTATAGTAGGCATGTCACAGTGTAGTATCTATACTCTGGGCTTTCTGAGTCTAAGTGGGAAAGTAATTAGAAAGGATATTTTTAGTGCCCTTTAGTAAAATAAAGATATATGTGTTCTAGTTTTCTATTATGAATATCAGTGCAAACAGATGGCCAGATTCCAAAGTGGTAATAGTATTTGACACCTAGACATTTTATTATTATTATTATCATTGTTAGTTTTGGTATAGGTACTTAAAACATTATGTAAAATTAAAAGTAATATGTTCCACTACTTTTTTTTCTGCATAAAAAAAAAGTCAGATACCTTACCAGGAACCTAGACCCTGCATAGCACTTGATTTTTTAAGTTAATTTGAAAACACATTGTGTGTCTTCTAATGTGCTTAAAGGGCTTCCTGAAAGTTCAAAGACTCAGAGTTGAAATGAATTTTGGAGAATGTATAGTGTAATATCTTCCTTTTTTAGATGAGGGAACTGAAATGTATGTCACTTTCATTTGGCACCATGCGACAGGGCTGCAGACTTTTGGGGAGTCAGCTTTGGGCCAGTGGCCCGTTTATTGGCCACCAACACACTGGTCATCTGCTCAGCTCGGAGTTCACCATTCCCTTAATGTTTGGCTCCATTCAATCACTGCAGATCTGATGTTTAATGTATCTGTTTCCTGTGCTTTCCTCTTCTATTCTTATTCTGTGATACGTATATCAAAGAATACATATAACATCACATGATATATATGTGTGTGTGTATATATATGTATATATATATATATATATATATATCAAAAGCTGTTTATATGACCTGATATAATAACACAATTAAATTGGTGATTGCAACCAAAATTACTTTTCTTAATATTGCCATACATAACTAACTTACATGGTTTTAACTACACGAATGGCCCTTAGAAAAGGACGTTACCTCAAAGCAAAATAAAGTGAGGTGTTCTAAATGTGACTTTTTTAATGTGTTATAATTCCTTAAAGACAAAGAAACAGGAATTTGTGCCTTGGGTAAAATATTATTTTCTAATTTCATGTACTATATGACATGGGAAATTATAAAACTTCATTTTCTCCCCGTCTACCTACTAGAAAACACAGCCTTCAGACTGACATATTTTGTGATTTTTTTCCTCACCCATTTCACACAAAAGCACATTTGTATGCATGAATGTTGAATTTCATTATGTATTTTCTTGCCTGGCAATATCAATAAGTTGTTAATACACAAGTGTTATAGACATTCTCTGCCATATTACATGACAGAACATTACTCATTCTTTACACATCTTCATTTAGAAGTGTAGTAAGTTAGTATTGAACATGTTTTCTTCTTGCAATCTGGCCAAAAATATTACCTTTACATTGACACGATGCTAATGGAAATTTGTAGCTAGAGTCTCATTATGGACCACAAAGAATTAATTTGCTGAAAAAAATAGTAATGGCAGAATTGGGCTGGTACCCATTTTCTCAAAATAAATTTTGCATTCCGAAGCTTTCATATAATTATATGACTTTATTTGAAATTTTTTGCACTGTAGCAACATCTAACCCATCAGGAAGGAATCAGAAAAGCATGATCTATTTATCTATCTTTCTACCATATGTCAAAGTCTGTGTTCTAATCACACAAATTCTTTTGTCAATTTGGATAAGCAATTCTTCTGAGTTCAAGCCATACAAGGAAGAATAGAAACAATAAATTAGCATAAGGGAATGGTGCAGCTGTAGACAGAGATACAACTATTAAATGAAACCTTCTGACATAGTACGGTGATCTGCCATTGAGAAATCCACCAAGGACAGGTACTCACTAGCAGGAAAGGGGCAGAAAATGAGTGTATAGACGGGCAAAACACTTCACGGGGTCAGCCCAGATCATTATTAATTTTTCTAGAGTGATACTACCAGTTCATCATTTTAAGAAAAAAACTAAATTATTGTCATGCAGCAAATATCCATCTGGCTACTGTGTGCCAGCTGGGTCATCAGAATGCAAAAGTCCATGGAAGCAGAGACCAGGGTGAATTAAAGCCCATGGGACTTAGTCCCAGCCACTCGTTGTCAGGTCAGACAGTGGGCCCATTCGATGGTACTCGTAAGAGAATAGGAACTATTATGATTTGTTCTGAAAATGTCTGTCTCATAGGGTTAAAATCTGTTATAAATTTGGTATTTTACATCTGCAAAATAACTCTTCCAAAAGAATAGAGAGAGCTGAAGTGTAAACTCATAGCTATCACGTCCAGAAAATAAAACAAATATGTTATGAACACACAAAACTTGCAGAATGAATAAAATAGGTACTCCTGAGACTTGCTGCCACCTACACTTTAAAATGGAGCAATGTTGTCTCTTTCCAAGCTGCCATGCTTTCTGCTGCTACCAGCCTGGCCCTATGCACAGCAAGAAGCGGTGCACTTGCCGCATGGGAGGAAGGGCCAGAAAGTCTTGTCTCGAGTATCTCCAGCACTAAGGATTAATATAGTCTGTCGTTAATAATTGTATAACAGATCATTCTGGGTAAATTTATGAGTTTTTGGATCCCCTCATTTCAAATGCAAACATGCCTGGAAGATGATAACATTGCAGCTTTCTCTTACTAAAAAGTGAGCGTCATTCAGAAAGCTTTCTGCTGCAATGGGCACAATGGTGGGCAAGAAATGAGGCTCATGAAATGGGTATGAAGAGAAATGGACTACCCGTTTTCTGTTTTCACTTCTAGCCAAACTTGTGCCACAGCTCTAATGAAAGGCTTTTGTTTGAAATGCATTTCCTCAGTTTTAAAATGTCCCATGTCTCTCACATAAATTGGCCTCGTCAGCAACAGATTTACTAATAACACATTCTTGTGCCAAAGCTGCCTCAACCAGCGCTAAGAATAGCAAGCCACCCTCATAGTCATCAGCCTCTTTTTCTTCTGCTTCTTCTCAAAGAGGCTTTGTTCTTTCCCAACCCTGAGAGAGGCTTCCTGCTCCCTCTAGGACGTTTGGTGAAGGTGCTCATTCTGCTAGTGGCAAAAGAACTTCAGTTTCAAAGTCTTAATCTATTTCTCCTACTTATGGCTACATTAACTTATTCTCTGTTCATTCCATAGCAAATATGGAGGAGCTGAACCAGTGGAAAGATAGGAAAGTCACACTATTCACTAGGAAAAAAACTCCCTCCTGATTTTCCTAAATGTTATGAATATGAATTATAACAACATTTAAACGTTTCTGATTGGGCAAACTTTATCTTGCCCTGAGCTCTGGGTGTTTTTCCTGGCTTACGCGCTGCAGCTGACCAGTTGCCAGCCATCGCCGCCATTCCCCATTGTTGACAAGCTAACTAAAGTTAGAAATGGCTGCGTGAACAATGCTACCACAGTCAGGCAACCGTGGCACTCCGTTCCTTTAAAAATACGCTCACAAGAAATGTAGGATTTAAATGGGAAGTTAAGTTTTTGTATTGAAATGTGCAGGTAAGAAAATTAAACATAACTGAGTATGAAAAAAATTTTTGTTTGTGAAAGTAGCTCATGTATGCTGCCTACCACTTGTGCCTGCTGCATTGGTCCTGAATTGAGATGGGAAAAGCCTAAGACTTACGAGGGATTTGCAGGGAGACCAAAATGGAAAAGTGCCAGCAACTGTGTCGGAGGAGCTCACGTGTCAGAAAGAAGCCGATCCCACTTCACACACCCACTCTGCCATGAGTGTTCTCTGGCCTCGTGAATGGTGTGCGGTGGAAGTGTGTGCATTCGGAAACAAGCAGCACTAAAATTTTACTCATCATTAACAGTCTTAAATTTCTTCATCCAAAGTAGACTTAAAATTTCATGGCTTAGAATTAAAGGGTTACGGTTCAGCTTTTCTCCATCATCATGTAGTTTCAAATAGACGGTCTCTCCCATTTCGACGAGCAGGTGTCACCCGGTGATCATCATGCTGGTGACAGGGCCCCTCTTCCTTCTCCTGCACTGAAGCGTGTGATACAGGGTGGGGCAAAAGGGGGTTTATAGCTGTTCATATGGAAAAGTAATATAATGGTTAATAAATAATAATACAAGAGTAAACTGTTTTTCATACTCACCACTTAAACTTACTTTTGTCTTACCCAGTATATGTCATGTTCTAGTAAGGGGTAAAAAAGAATATAGTATTTTATCTTTAAGTGGAAAACAGTAATAGGAAATGTTAGTTTTACCCTTTGCTTTATTTTTAATTTTAATATAATTTTATTTATTTTCATCAAAAAGAAAAATTTTACTTTTGATTGTGGTAAAGTACACATAACATAAAAAGGTTTTATAGTATGTGTTCACCATCTTAACCACTGTAAGGGGACAGGTCAGTGACAGTAAGCATATTCATATCGTTGCATAACCGGTGCCACTAACCACCTCCATCCAGAACTTTCTCATCATCTTAAACAGGACACTCTGAGCTCACTAAACACAAACTCTCCAATGGGAACACATTTTTCTAAAGATACAAGGGTCTCTGATTTCCTTAGATGTTATAATGATAGTTGCAGATTTTGACTTCACAGGAAAAAGTTTCTTCCAAAAGTTTTATGTGAATAATTCAGAGTATCGTCTCTGTAGGTCTCTATCCCATAAAATGGACCTTGTTTGTCTGTTCCCACTAAAATTAAACACATGCATTTTAAAACAACAAATGTCAAAATACTCAAATATGAATTGGTTATTTTATAAATACAACAAGTGTTTATGATCTTTTAAATATTTTCTTGTATTCTAATGGAGAAATAGTTTTCAAATTTTCTAAAGCTGTAATTTTTTCTGCTCCTTTAGAGTATTAGTGATTGATCAACTTAAATATTTAATGGGACATCTGTGCTCGGTTTAGTTTGTAACTTAAAACTATTGTTTGACACTTTAACTTACCAAATAAGATAAGCAATGCTGATTAAGGGCAGGTATGTCAGATGCGAAACTTACATCAGTGTACTGATTTCTGTGTATGAAGGTTGGCTGGGGCTTTATAGATAATTGTGTCCAAGAAGGGTTAAAGGTGAGGACAAGGTTTTGTTTGGTTTTGTAAAGGTGAGGCACACTTTGAAATAAGCGTCTTGAGGAATCAAGCATCTTCTAATGCAAATATGTTTTTCTATTTTAGAAGTTTACAATATAGCAAGTGCACAGCCTTTATTCCCTCCCAAATAATTTATTTGCTGTCATTGAAGAGAATGTTAATGTTTTTCTGACTTCCTCATCATAGTCAAATTTATCAGACATGACATTGTTCATTTTGTATGTTAAAATGCTTCCATATAATCTGAGAAGGTTTATGCTTTCTCTGTACTTTCCTTTTCTGATGACGTAAAGAGTGTTATCAATATGTTTGATATTGACAAAGAGTGGTCTGTCAATATGTTTATTCTTCTTGAACGTAGAGAGAGGCAGAGAAAGTAGTGTGCTCAGTGGAATGGGCTGCTTAAGGTTTTGGTTCCCTGGGCAAGTCGAACCGTTTGTTTTTAAGTCTGTCATAACCTAGCCCCGTTCTCAATGTTTAGCCATATACCTTGTTTATACATAGTTCATGTTGTTATAATGAGTGATGACTGTCACTTTAATACTTTTTCATTTTTGAAGGACCTCTCAAGTTAATGGTCTGTGTCTAAGAATTAAGACTCTACTGGAAACTGTTCATGAAAAACACTTTTTGCTGAATTTGGGCAAATAAGTCCTTTTCGTACTACAGTTGATAGGAATTGAACCCCACTAAATTCTAGATAGTCCCAATATCAAAACATTATTGACCTGTGCAACATGAACAGCTCCTTTGTGAGAGGACATTAAAGGATGGAAAGAGCTGGGACAAATATTAGCACACAGTGAACAGAAAAAATGGGAAAAATGATATCAAATAAGTACAAATAAGAAAATTAAAGTTGCTGAAAGTTTGTCATGTGTTAAAAAACTTTATTGGTTGGAGGCCAAATGATGTTCTATACCTGTAATGCTCATTATAAATTACAACTCTAAAAGCACTAAGATGAATTCATAATTACTTATGTTTGGGGGGTATGTTGAAATTCACACTGTTTACTTAGCAGACTTGTTTTCTGTTGAAAATCACTGTGAATACATTTTAATATTATGAATATCTTACTGTTTAGATATTTTCATGTATTACAAGTAAATATTGCTGTTCTCATTTTAAGGAAATCAGCCCTTTCTCTTTATTCACCTGCAGCTCAGAGAGTCATTCAAAGACATCAAAAAGAAATTTAACAACTTGAAGTTTAACTACTCTAAGAAAAATGAAAAAGCCAAGAACCTGAAGGCTCTGAAATATCAAATTCAACAAGTCGATATGTATGCTGAAAAAATACAGGTGATGAAAACATGTGTGTGTGTGTGTGTGTGTGTGTGTGTGTGTGTGTTCTCACACGCTACTCCAGCCACTGCAGAACCAGTTTGCATTTCAACTCTAGATGCCCCTCTGACAGCTGTCAGTGTTCTCTGTATCTGTGAGTCTGTCTCCACTTTTTTGGTTAACTTATTCTTTCCAAAATGCATTTGTAAAAATTATGATTTTGGTATATCATAATGGAAGAAGCTACAGTAATTTTTCCAAGTTTTTCTCTAATATTTAGTTACCAGCAAACTTCTTAAATAAACATTGGATTTCATTTAAAAAAATTTTTTATGCAGGCTTTGAAAAGGAAAATGGAAAAAGTTGAGAATAAGACTTCTGATTCTTTCTTAAATTATCCAAATAATAAAATCACTGTCCTTTTGGAGGCCATGAAGGATTTGCAAAAACATGTGGAGGAGTTTGACAAAGTCGTAACAGATTACAAGAAGAACTTGGACCTGACAGAGCATCTCCAGGAGTTGACTGCAGAGGTACCCTCTCCTCGCAGTGCTGCCCATATTGTAACGTTGTCCTAGACAGTTACCCTGATACTTGAAAGCAATGCTGCATTAGCTATTATTTTCATTAAGTCTACGTATCATGCTCCTTTTCATGATTATTTCCTTAAGACAGTTCCCTACAGAACTGCTGAGCCAAAGGCGGTGAATGCTACAAGGTTTTGCATGTGTTGTCCAAATGCCCTTCAGAAAGCCTTTACTGACTTTCTCTTGCTAGCAACATATATGAGTTTCTCATTTCTCCGTAACCTCATTGACTCCAGATGTTTAACTTATCATGGAATTATGTTCACTGCTGGATATCTGTTTAAAATACTCTAGACGACATAGCTGCTTCACAGAATATGAAAGTGTTTAGAAAGAAAAGGTGATAGGATTTTTCAGGTACAAAAATTGTTATTGGTGTTATTTTTGTTTTTGTCAGGATAAATGGAAGAGTATGCATAAAATATATGAAATTTGACAAATTAAAGTTATTATTGTATTTGCACACTTCATATTGAAGAAAATCTACACTTGCAGTTCTTGAGTGTTCTTTGTAGCCTATTATTCTGAGATTAAAGAAAATCTCTCTGTGCCCCTGATGCAGTCGAGTTTTTAGGTTTAACACCATATTAAGAAGGATCAAGGTCATTCCTCTATGTCTAATATGTAGGTTTGCTGTAGCTCCACAGCACTTACTTAAAGCTAGCTCCTAACAGAGTCCTGTGTTTCCTCACTCAGTATAAAGGCTCAGCCTTGGCGAGACACGTTCCTTCCAAAACAGTCATTTATTTTTAGTGAGGAAACTCTCTCAGTTCTCCACTGGACTTTGAAAATATGACTGTCTTCTATTAAAAGAAAGTCAAATGCTATTTTTTAGATGATATTTCCTAGCTCCAGACTAAATCTCATTCTCAAAAAAGAAGTCATTTGGGTGTTAATCATGCAATACTGTATTCATTTATTGTTAATGATTTAAATTAATTAGGCTGGATTGCATGTGTTTGGACTTTTTTATTTCCTTTCATCTTATATTTGGATTCTTTTTAGTGCCGTATTCTTTTTTGTACTGCCTGTTCTTGCACATATGCAATATCCTTCCTTTAATTATGCTTCAGGCAAATCTAAGCAGGCAGGAAAATCAAACAAATTTCCATACTCTATTTTCTTACCTGGCTCTAATATCCAAGTGCAAAGTATATGCTCATGCTTTGATATATTTTTATTAAAACTTCAAGAGTTCAAACTAATGTGAATATAAAGTTTGAGGACATTTAAATTTGATACTTCAGTGGCCCAAATGAAAAACATTAATTAAAGTGATGGTGTCTCTTTAATCTATGCCTTGTTCCATTTTAACTTAGTGTCACTTTTGGTGTGAAGACGCAAGTGCCACAGTTGTAAGAGTTGGGAAATATTCCACAGAGTGCCAGACAAAAGAAGCTGTGGAAATTCTCCACCAGCAGTTCAATAAGTTTATCACGCCTTCAGTGCCTCAGCAAGAAGAAAGGATTCAGGAGATCAGTGACCTTGCTCAGCGATTATATGGTGAGGTCTCCTTTAAAATATGCAGTGGTTCCCCATGAAACAAAGCTAACTGACCCTAACCCAGCAGAAGGCAGAGCATGCAAGCCTCTCTGCACCAACCTATTCAGGGAAAAGGCTCAAGATAAGAGCTCACAACCAGCAAAAGTAAACACTAGGGAACAGAGGAAGGAACTTCTGTCTGCAGATGAAGCCTGCAGATTTTTAATTACTTTATGTAAACCCTCCTTCTCCATCTTCTTGTCTCCTCCATTCTTGTTGACCATCTCCAGGGTAATAAAACTAGGACAATACTCAGCTTACGTAGACAAAAAAAATCTAATTTCCGCTAGTGTGATTCCTTGAAAAACATACAAAATTCCTGTAATACTTTAAGTATCAAGCTAAGACAGGTATTTTCTTATGTCTATGAGGATTATGGTTCATGGATATAAGAAAGAGCTGGAAAGTTTTCTCTTGCCTTCCTGTCACTTGTGGAATTAATGGGAAGGGTAAAAGGATCATCTCATGGGCTCTACTTTCCTCTTCTCCATGACTAGGAAAGGTAAGTTGTTAGCTGTATTACCCGAGAAGTCCTTATGTATAAAGGAGGCCCCCATTTAAGAAGCCCCCTGGGTAATGGCAGTCCTTGAGGGCACTGAAGAATAAGTTTCATGAATTCCCTGATATTATTACTTAGGAAATGAAGACTTACTCCCAGTGATTAGACAGATTCAGCGCAAAAAGAAGATAGCAACAGTGGTACAGAATGCTTCCCTTGGCTGCCACAGCTGCTGCCCAGATGGACATTTTCTCTAGAAATTTGTAAGATAATATATACTGTACTAATATCAAATTATCAAGTATGAATTATTAATGATTTCCCAATAAAGAGTAGAAATATACAATAATAAAATACAGATAGAAAAATCAATGAAAGCTAATACGAGGATGCATTCTTGCTATTGTTATTATATAAGTTGCACCAAAAAATTTTGGAGCACTCTACACTCATAATCTTGTGTATAGTTTCTTCCATCATTATATTTTTCACACTGCTGCATAATTGCCTGTTTATTCATATCTTCCCTACTGACCATAAGCTCATTGAAGGCATGGGAAGTACATTTTATTACTGTGTTCAGTGCCTACTCTATTTTAGACATGGTGAGTACTCAAAGACTCCTCCCCCTCCCAGCATGCATGACTCTCTGTCCTGCTTGGTTTTGTGTTCCTGATCCTATCATCAACCAACAAATTATAGTTAGTTGTCTGTTTTCTGCTTTTCCTTACCAAATGTAAACTCTATTAGAAAAGGGATTTTGCCCCGTAGTTCACTGCTTCGTGGAATATACGAAGTACTCAACAAGTATTTGATGAAAATATGAATCATTGAGTGAATATATAAACAGCATGAGTCTTTTTCTGTTTAGTATGGAAGTTAGGTATTCTTAAAAATTTGCATCAAGTAAGATACTTTAAAAATATTATATCAACTCTTGCAGGCCACCCAAGCATTACTAAAAGCATTAGATTTTAGTGCAAGTGAATTTATCTCAAAGACTTTTTTTTAGTGACTAGTATATACTAGGAGTTGTAATTGATATAGACAAATAAAACCTAGTAACTTCATTCAGGAATCCCTGGTCTGAGCGTAGAAATCACGATATGGCAAATGCAGCAAAAAAAGTATAAAATGTGTATATTAGTTTGCTCAGGCTGCCATAGCAAAATGCTACAGACTAGTAGCTTAAACAACAGGAATACATTTCCTCCAGTTCAGGAGGCTGGAAGTCCAAGACCAGGGTACTCTCAGGGTTGGCATCTCCTGAGGCTTCTCTCCTGGGCTTGCAGATGGCCACCCTCTTGCTGCCCCTGCGCATGGAGCCCCCTCTGGGCACTCATCCCCCTGTTGTCTCTCCCAGTTCTTATAAGGACACCAGTCATTTTGGAAGAGAGCCCCACCTTAATGGCCTCTTTTAAACTTAATGATCACTTTGAAAACCTTATGTACAAAAATGGTTATATTCTAAGATATTGGGGATTGGGACTTCAGCATATGAATTTTGGGAAATACACAATTCAGCCCATAACAATGTGCAATACAATTTAACCTAAACTTTGGATTCCAGTAGTCCAGGTTCAAATCCTTGGTCCTCCAGTTATTGTCTGGATTACCTCAAGAAGCTCTTTTGAGCCTCAGATTCCTCATTTGTAAAATGTAAAAGAACCTACTTGAAGTGGATTACATTGGACAATGCATATAAAATGCCTGTGCACTCTCTACATGGTAGAGATTTTTATTATTATTCCAGTAGGGAGAGAGAAAATCCAGTTTGGAAAGATTATAAACATTTTCTCAAACATTTTGGCATTTAAGGTAAAGCTTGAAAAGTAAGTGGGATTTTGACAGCAAATCCGGGAAACTGCAAAGTGGGAAACTGGGGGAGGGTGTTCACGGTATGGGAAAGACTGCCCAGGGGCTGTGAAGATTTTGAGGGCAGAGTGGCTTGTTCAGTTTGGCCAGAGATTAAATATGTGAGAGAATTAGGATAATTCACATTTGATAGAGGCAAGTTAAAACCAACTATGGAAGGCCTTGAACACATACTTTTCTACATAGCCAAGAACCTCTGAATATTCCCAACAAGAGAAAAATTATTAGAATTAATCTTTAAGAATATTAATACAACAACATTATTTAGGTTTCATGAAAGAGACATGGTACAGTAAATATAACTATTTTTCTAGAATATCTTGTTCTAAAAAAATGCCTTCATTTATTGATCTGTTCAACATGTATTTACTAAGCAGTTACTGTGTACCAGCCTTTACACGAGACACTGGGGAGATGAATTAATTATTTTTTTCTGCCAGGAAGCTGACCTTTAAAAATTTTATTCGTTCTTCTTCCAAGGTTTTGAAGAAGGGCAGAAATATGCTGAAAAAATAGTGGCCAAACACAAAGAAGTTCTTGAATCTATTACTGAATTATGTGGTTCTCTCACAGAGCTTGAAGAAAAGCTAAAGGTAATGTCTTCTCAGAAAATGTATTGCAGGGTGGCATAAATGAAAAATGTGCTGATCAAATGTCTTCTGGTGCAAAGATGTTCTAAAGAAAGTTCTCAGGGGATATAATATGCCCATTTATTTCACAGCTTTCTAACATAATTATCTGGGTGTTTCTGATCATTAAATCTGTTTCTTTCCCACCACTGCCGGGAAAAAATTTTGCTTAGAATGAGGGCTGAACACAAATAAGGTGTCGTGTTTACATTTTAATGGATCATAACCTAATGGATAAATGTGTGCTGTTAAAGTCAGTCTGTATCAAGTAGCCTTATGTTTTTGTTCATAAATAATGAATGTAAGTTTCCCCCCCTCCAAATTGTGGCCCCAGAGAAAATAGAACTAATCTTCAGGTATTATATTCCTTGAACGTTTAACTTCATGGAAATATTAAACTAATCGTTGTCATCATTCATGGCCTTGTGGTATAGTACGATAGCAGGTAGTGTGATTCCTCCAAATTTCTTTCTCAAGATTGCTGTGGCTATTTGGGGTCTTCTGTGGCTGCATATAAAGTTTGGGAATATTTATACGAGTTCTATGAAATATGCTTTTGGTATCTTGGCAGGAATTGCACTGAATCTATAGATTTCTTTGGGTAGTATAGACATTTTAATGATGTTAATTCTTTCTGTCCATGAATATAACCATATACTTCCACTTATTTGCATCTTCTTCAATTTCTTTCTTCAGTGTCTTATAATTCCCTGAGTACAGGTCTTTTACATCCTTGGTTAAATTTAGTCCTAGGTATTTTTTTGATGCAACTATAAGTAGGATTGTTTTCTTAGTTTCCCTTTCTGATAGTTCATTATTGGTGAATAAAAATACAACTGATCGTGCAAATTGGTATATCCCCTGTGGAACAGCCTTGTGACCCAGCAATTCTACTTCTGAGAATATATCTGAAACACTAATTCTAAAGGACATAAGTGCCCTTATGTTCATTGCAGCATTATTTATTGATAAAATAGCCAAGATTTGGAAGCAACCTAAGTGTCCATTAGTAGATGAGTGGATAAAAAATCTGTGGTATATTTACACAATTGAATAATACTTGGGCAAGAAAAAGAAGGAAATCTTACCTTTTGCCACAACATGGATAGAACTGGAGAGCATTATGCTAAGTGAAGTAAACCAGTCAGTAAAAGACAACTATCATATGATTTTACTCATGTGTGGAATCTAATGAGCAAAATACACTAACGAAGTAGAAACAGACTCATAGCTGTAGAGAGCAGACTGACAGGTCAGAAGGGAGTAGGGCTGGAAAGCCAGGTCAAAAGGTGAAGGGACTAAGCAAAGAAAAAAAACTCACAGACAGACAGCAGTACGGTGATTATCACAGGGAAAGGTTGGTGGGAGGAGGTAGAAAAGGGCCAAGGGAGGGGTGAATGGTGATAGAAGGAGACTTGACTTGGGGTGGTGGACACACCACACAGGGTACAGACAATGCATTATAGAATCGTACACCTGAAACCTGTATAATTTTATTAGCCAGTGTCACTCTGATACATTCAATAAAAAATTTTTAAAAAGAAAATCAACAAGAACTAGTATAAAGGACACATGGACAACAACTAAGGGGGGTGGAAATGGAGGGAGGTGGGGAGCACTGGGGGGGGGTTGGGATGGGAGTAAAAGACAGAAAACTGTACTTGAAAAATAATTAAATTTTTAAAAATTTAAAAAAAAGAAAATGCTGAAAGCTCAGAAGTTGTTTGTCTATGTCTAAGCAAAATCCACTTAAAAGAGAGACTATATATATATATATATATATATATATATATATACACATATTTTTTCTACATCATGTCAAAAACTGGTTTGATTAGTGCTGTTTTTACAACTGGATGAAAGAACCGATTATTTGTGAGGTGATTAAGGGCACAGGCTCTAAAGTAAGACACAGCAACCTAGAAATACCAACTTTTTAATTATTGGATTTTTGTTATTGAGTAAATTATTTAATCTTCCCAAGTCTCGTTTTCCTGATCTGTAAGGTGCAGGATATAGTGGAGCCTAACCCCAGGTCTTAGGGTGGCATGTGAAGACACCCGTGCTGGTCTCTGTGATTGTTGTTCTTACTGAGATGAGGTGATGTGCTTCCAGTTCAGAGCAGAAGTTCAAGCAGCCATGGTTTTTCTGTATGAATTTCTGTCTCATAAATTTGAATACCAGTTTCATTCAAAATAGTCTGCTAACCTTTAAATTCAACCAAATTATCCTTTTACTTTGGTTAAGAATCTAGATTTTTTAACTTCCTTACCATTTTAAACAACACTACAATAAACTTTTTCATGCACGCAGCTTTTTCTTTCTCTTGTGTTATTACCTATGCATAAACTCTCCAGATTTGGGTAAATGGGTATACAATTATTAATGTTTCATGTATGTATGAAATGATAGCAATTGTTAGTGTTTCTAATATATATTTCTGTTACATTCCATAAATGTTTTACAATTATAATGCCACCAGTAATGTACGAATTGGCCATACATCTTCACTTTTTCCACCTTTACCACTTCCTCCCCCACCTCACCTCCTGTGGATCTGTTTCCTCTCCTGACTCCTGATACACAACCTGAAAATTGCAGCTTCCTCTGATGCTTTGCCCTCCGTTGTCCACAACATCCGTCCCATGTGTGTTGTACACCTTCAAGTCTCTCAGAGGGGAACTGTGGGCTTGGAGGGATCATTGCATAAGTCACATGGTGGGAGTGCCTCAGTCTCATGTGGAATACATTCACTGAACAGTTGCCAGTGGCCTGTTTTCTTCCAAGTGAGGATTATGTGGCACTGGTCCTCCAACTTCTCTGGCCCCGGCCCTCACTGACTATCTCTTTGTATAGCAGGGGGATGTTTTAAAGAGGAATCTGATTTCAGAAGATTTCCATGATAGTTGCATTGACCTACTGAAAGAACCAGTAAGAAATAAGCATCCAATATTCAAAGAAGAATTGAATAAGGTAAAGAAAACTATGTAGCCTCAGCTACTGATTACTTATGCTTGGGGGTTCAAGTCATTGTGCATTGCAAAAACAAGTGAATTGAAGTCCTGTTATCTGTCTGAATCGAATCTCCCAATGTGAATGCAGTGGGAGTGTCCTATCCCTTACTGCCTTTCTACCCCTCGCTTAGCCCTTTTGTCCTGCTGTTTCCTTCTGAGCCCCGCCTAATGACTCCTGGAGCCACATTGTGCAGTGACAGTGGGACAGCCATTGGAACTCCGTGCTGTCACCTCTGTTTGTCCTGTCTTCAGCTGCCTTTCCCATTGTCCTTTTCTAGTCAATCCCAACTTCAGGCTTCACTTCGCCCTCTTTATTACACCACCAGGCTATGGTTTCATGGTTTACAGTACCCATTAGAAAACCTTAATACATGAAATGAGATTGTATCTTGTTCCCATAGAACCTGAGGTATTTCCAGGCACAAAAATTAAGTATCCGACTGAAATAGAAATACTTAACTATTTGGAGAAATGTTTAAATTACTTTAAGACCTATGCATTACAGATAAATTAAGCATGTAGCAAAAACTGCAAATACCCACAAAATGCGAATGTATCATGATATCAAACATATTCTTTAAATCACATCATTTTGGATTTTCAGCCTAAGTTACTCACTCCCTATTCATAGCTGCTGAACTATAATGACCTCTGGACTTTCTGCTTTGCCAAGCTGACTGCTCCCTCTGGTTTTTCCCCTCCCCCAAGGAACCAACTGGACAAGCAGAATCAACACTATTCTCAACTGCCCCCAATTAATAAAATCTATTTTTGTAACCCAAGACTTAGAAAAATCTCTTCACTCGTGTACTTATCTCATGGGGAAACAGTTATCTTTCCCTGAGGTCAATACAGTTCTTAGACCTTGTTTATAGGTCCGTTTCCACAGGTTAAATGTATGTAAAGATCTGGCCCAATTATATAACCACCAGGCAGCAAGAACCATTGAGCAAGCTGCCTTTTTTTGTGGGGTAACCTTGAGGTACTAAACCCTGGTTCTCCGGAGGCACAGGAAAGCTGCCCAAACCTTGGTCATCTTGTGGGACCCTAGTCTTATATCTCAGTCTTTGGTTGCTCTGATTGGTCTAAATGAGGGTTTTTCCATCTTGGTGCTATTTCTATTTTCGCCCAGAGAATTCTCTGTTCTGTGGGCTGTGCTGTGCATTACAGGATGTTTAGCAGCATCCCTGGCCTCTAGTCACTAGATTCCAGTAGTAACCGCCCTCACCCTACCCACTTGTGACAACCGAAAGTATCCTTAGATATTTTTAGATATTTCCTAGGGAGCAAAAATCACCTTTGATTAAAATCTACTCGAAAATAGTGGGAGGAAAGGGTGTCTGGGGCAGGAGACAACTGTAGTTAAACAATAATAAAAATAATAATGTACCACCCTGGCTGGTTTAGCTCGGTGGATTGAGCACAGGCCTGTGAACCAAAGGATCATGGTTCAATTCCCAGTCAGGGCACATGCCTGGGTTGCAGGCCAGTTCCCAGCAGGGGATGCATGAGAGGCAACCATACACTGATATTTCTCTCCCTCTCTCCTTCTTATCCCCTCTAAAGATAAATAAATAAAATCTTTAAAAAATAATAATGTATCATTTAAAGCAAATAGATGTATTAAAAGTACCAAGAATAAAAATAAAAATAAAACTTACTAGAAAATAATAAAGACTAATATTAAATGTATCACATTTTGTTAAGTTTCTAAGAGATACTCAATCCAACATCATATCTTTAAAATTTCTGCCCATTTCTCTATGTGTTCAACCACACATTTACTAAGATTAAAAACAAAAGTTGTTGCTACCAAAGCAAACGCCCTCGTTTATATTTAATCAAAATAGTTTTTCTTGCTTTTAATTATTTTTCTTAGAAGAAAAGTTAAGGAATAAATTCCTTTCAATACAAAAAAAAAACAAAAACCAGATTTACTTTCACTGAAAAGTCATTTTTATTTTAATATAAGTTAACAGACATGATCAATCACCAGTTACTTAGGATGAAGGTGAAGGCCCACAATTACAGCTGTCAAGGACCCATGGATGTAATTTCACTCATACATTCTGGCACTGCTGGTATAGAAGGCAAAATTAAAGAACAGCAGGACTCTCCACTTCTAAACATCTCAATCTCTGACTACCTCTATCATTTATATTATAGGTCAGATGTAACGGTTCCTTATAATATTATGTGGGCAGGTAAAACGGTTGTTAAGGTATCTCTGAGTTCAGTTCTGACACCCTTACATTGTGTTGATCCTCCTCAGAAAAATGACATAAGTCAGAAAGAACAGTCTCACCAAACTTATAAGAATGTGTTAATCACAAGATTTTCTTCTGGAAATAGTAAAGCACTTCCCATTTTTCAGGCCCAAAAATGCAGCAGGCGGAATTAGGCAATTCAGTTGATGTCATGGTCATTGCACTGCTAACAGATTAGTGGTGGCATTTTATCCCTGAGGTGAGGATGGACCCTAAATCCACAACAATATAGGAAAACTCCTCAGGTTAAAAGGAGTCACAGAGTATTAAGAGACTCACCTAAAGTCACAGAACTGTTCAGCAAAAGATGGAGGCTGGTGATGCCAGCAATTAGAGATATAGTCTTCTAGTGCTGGAAGGGATTTAACAATCATCTGATCAAATCTCATTTTACAGTTGAAGAAACTGAGGCTGAAAGAGATTAAATATTTTTCCCTTCAGAAATCACAGAAAAGTAGTGGTAGAAGGCAGCCCAGTTGCTCTGAATTTCAGCCTCGTGACTCTTTCCACGGGAGCAAAGGGAGCTCCAAGGAGCTGCTGCGTAGATTCCCACGCCAGACCTTCCTCCTCTTCCCATTCACACGCCCACACGAGATTAGTAAAGCAATAGCATAGAATTACTTTTATACCAAACAGTTCAGGGGCTCTTACCAAACAAAGTGAGCACAGCCCCTGGACCCTCCTCCTCTAATTCCGACCACTGGGTAGGCAGGGGGAGGTGTTCCTAAAACACTTGGAAAGAAGTTGGGAAGAAAAAGCATTGTTTACCACCTTTTTGCAATTTTTTTTTTTTGTCTACCAAGTGCCCTAAAGGTGCTAAGTCACTCCTTGGCTGTCCAAAGTCCCGTCCAAATCCCAGAAATGCCTTTTATAGGCCCAGTCCTGTGTTCAATATCTTTCTTTTGCTACTTCCTACTTAGCTTCATTTAATTTTATTTAAGACTAGCTATTGAGATCTTTTGGAAGGTAAAGTCTTGTGGTGTTTTCTTAAATTTGCCACTTAGATGGACGGCTTCCTGCCCTATGTACTTGGTGGACTGGTGCTTCACACCGAGTTCCGTGGATGTAGAATGTCATTCACCTTCTGTCTCCCAGACACTTATTTTGTTTGCCTACATGGCGATGGTTATAAATCCAAGTGATTATGTTTATTAATAGACCTGGAAGTTCAGAAATCCTGACAGAGATAAGATCTGAGGCTATAGATTTAGGATTAATTAAAAGTTAACTGGTCCTGCTCTGGCTGGTGTGGCATGGAGCATCGTGCCATAAGCAGAAAGGTGGTGGGTTCGATTCCCAGTCAGGGCACATGCCTAGGCTGAAGGTTTGGTCCCCATCAGGCATGTACATGAGACAACCCATCAATGTTTCTCTCTCTCTCCCTCCCTTCCTCGCTCTCTAAAATTAACAAGCATGTCCTTAGGTGAGGATAAAAAATAATAATATTAAAAAACATTAACTGGTCATTAGATATGAAAGGGGTAAGATCTTTGAAGGGAAAATATAGAGAGATTTGATAACTTAATCTTCTCTATATAGTTAGAAGAGGAAAAGAAAAAGGAATCAACAAAAAAGACAAAGAGCAGCCAATGGCTATCGGAGAAACACATGGAGAGCGAGCTGTGTTTTGGTGAATTATATCAGAGTTTCCCACTCTTTTTGCCAGAATCTATCAGATTGATGCAAATATGACCTATTTGTTCTGAGACACACAGCTTAAACTACCTTTTTCTAGAAACACACACACATATATACATGCCTTTTTTTTTACTGACAGCAAAAATGGTTTCACGGTGGGAAAATGTGAAAAAAATAGTTGGTATTTGTGAAGGTTTGGAAATCATTCCCATAAAGGAAAAACTAGCAGACCCAGGAAAGTATAACTCAGTGAGGCTTAAAAGGAATTTTTATAAAATTCCATGATTTAAAAACTAAAAGCTTATTTTCCTTTGCAGTTAAAAGCAGAAATGCCAAAAGCCAACCTGATTAATTCAGAAAAACTTGTATTAAACTCACCTTATTTTGCTCCCTGAGATGATTATTTACTGGGCAGTTCTAGGTTAGTGCTATTGGCAAAATTTATTATGGTTTCAGGAAGTCACTGGATAAGCACACTCATGGTATCTCTCTTAAGGTCAGTGGGAAAAGGTGAGCTGAGTGAGAGTTTGGTAGAGTCATAATTGTAACCCAGAGTGTCAAGTAGTTCTTCAGTGTCACCCTGGAAGGCAGTGTGCCTTGCCTAGGGGACTTCTGGCCTTGTCCTAACCTGTGCCAGCTTCAGCATTTTTATCAAGGATATTCATGGACAGAGAAAGTAGGAGATTTTTAGTTGATTCAAAACTCAGTGTGACTCAATAGTCCCATGTGGTTCTTATAAAAGATAACAAAAAAAAGAACTAATACTGGCACTTTAATAAAAACATATATAGATCAAGGAGATGAAGTTTCCACTGCTTGCTTTGTATTCTGGAAAGTAAACAAATAATGGAAATGAACATATTCATGGGGAATAGTAATAAGCTGGAAAGTTTCTAAAAAAGATTTTGGAAAATTCTCTTGTTATTATCAGTAGAAGTAAACTGGTAGTGTTATTTTCTGCAGGCAGTATTTTTATACTTTAGAAATGTATGGAGTGAAAAATAATATTCTTGGATTGTGTTCTTGAGTTTGGCACCATCTGAGAGTGAGACACAGCTGTCAGAAATCAGTGACCAGTAAAAGCTGGACTGGAGAGCATGACTTGGACTTATCTAGAGGGTCTCCCAAAACCTCATCTCTGATGTAGGCAGATTTGTCTACCCAGCCACTTGGGTGCATAGTTAGACAACCACAGACTTTCTGTACAGGGGTTTTCATGCCTTGTGGCCAGTGTAAATGTACCCATTTGGTGGAAGGTAGTTCCAGAGGAGAGGACATCAAAGAGACAGAGCTGAGATTGTTCAGTCTCCTCTTCTAAACCCTCAAGTAAGTCAGTCCATTCCTCTCCGGGAGGGAGTGAAGAGTGGAGAGACTAGCTGGGACTTTTATTCAAGTTTCTCTCCCCTTTTGAAAATTTTCAGCCATTTAAAAAATGTTATTCTTCTGGAGAACCACAGGTTACCCAAAGAAGTCACTAAGGAGTTGCCTGCCCCTGGAAGATCCTTAGCTCAGCAAATGTCCCCGCCTTCCTGTGAAGCAGCTTGTAGACCAGCAGAAGTAGGGCAGCCCACCCCCGAGGGTGATCGGGGTGATGGGAGGTCAGGAGTCGAGGCAGATTGGAGATTTTCAGTCCAGAGAAAGAGACTTGGGGGTTGTGGGACCAATTCTCCAAACAGTCAAAGGGCTGTTTTAAAAGGAGAGCAGGCGGCCACCAAGGAGGCCCATGCAGATCCATTGGTGGATAATGAAGGAAGGCAGAACTTTGCTAAATACAGAAAGATGTTCTTACCACAAGTAAAGCATCAAATTATTTGTGAAGAAAGTACCCTTCAGGAAAAGTGTTCAAGCAAAGGCTGTTGAGATGTCATAGAGGAGATTTTTAGATCGAATAGGAAGTTGGGTCAATGTGCCTGTGAAAAGGAAATAAACAGTTGACTTTCAGAAAGAAAGGAAAAGAGAGAAAGGACTGAGCTGTAATAGAAAAACCGAACGAAGGAGAGGCATTCCCTACTGGATATGTGTTAGTTAGTTAGCTAGTTAGCTAGTTAGGTTTTAATGAAAGGGACTGTTAACTTCTGGCTTTCATACCCAGAATTTAAACTTCTGTTAAATGCCTGGAAAAAAACCCACTTTCTCTGAGCTGGGTTTATGATTTCTCTGTCATGAGAAAAGTCATGTCTGTAGGATTGTAGAAGGAGCACTATTTTATTTCTACTTCTAATCTTCAACCTAAAAAACAAATTTATCTCTCAAAAATCATTTAAAAGTATGTCAGGAGCAGGACTACATGCTAAAACAAAGAACTCAAAGTCCAGGCAAGATGTAACTTTCTTACATGCAAGTGTAGCAATGAGAGAAAAACTAGTAATTGTTTAGTAAAAATGCAACCAGAATGCTGAGGAAAAGCAAAGAAAGAAGTATGTGTAAAACAAGCAGGTTGGGATCAGTGAGCTCCCTTCAGGCTCAATATTCCTTTGAGTCTGTGTCAGAGGGTGTGTTCAAGCCTCTAAGCCAGAGATGGATGTGGGTTAGGGAGGAGAAGTAACAGAGCAGTAGGTGATGTGCTGCTATTCATGGTCTCCTGGCACACCTTCCACCCCACCTGGGACAGAAAGGTAAGTGGTGGGTGTTCCTCTATTGTATCTCGCTGTGTTTTGTTGTGAAGGGTCACAAAGTGCCATGGTTCTGTCAATATCCACATCCCCCACTGGACTATCATCTCCATGGAGATGAGGAGGCAGACACTGCACTTCCTTTACTCACCATTTTCTCTCTCCGATGCCCAGCAGTGCTGAGAGTACCGTAGGCTCTCAGTAGATGTTTTTCAGTGTAAGAGTAAAACCAAGGGGCTTTAAGAAAATAAAGCCAGTCATTAAAAATACCTTTCTCTATATGAAATACCTGGAATAGTCAAATCGAGACGGGAAGGAGAAGGGGCTGGGGGGACAGAGAATGGAAAAGTAGTGTTTGGAGGGTACAGAGTTTCACTTCGGAAGGATGAAAAAGTCCTGGAGATGATCGAGGGTGCTGCTTGCACAATATTGTGAAGGTACTTACTGCCATTTAACTACTCTTAAAAATGGGTACATGCTAAATGTTATGTTATATCTATTTTGCCATAATAAAAAAAATAAGATAAAAAGAATGGCTTTATTTGGAGAAGGGAGGGATCGCGCTAGGAGAGTCCAAGAGACGACCTGAGGAGGGAGCCTGTGATGTTTAGGAACAGTGTTCAGCTGGAGTGCAGACAACCCAAAGCAGAATTGGCTGGCGAAAGGAGACTCCTCGGATTATGATTGGAAAAGACCTTTATCCAGTCCATCCCTCCATTAGAGATAATAAACTAGGCCTTTCTCTGTCCTGTTTTGCAAGGTCTATCATGTTTCAGTCAGTTACTGGAGGTCAGTTTACTGGTTCCTCCACCCTGGGATGGAACTGTGCCTGGGGGGAAACAGACAAATGGTTTCCAGTTCCTCAAGCCTGAGCCCTGTGCAGCTGTAACTCACCAGGGCCCCAGGGCCCCAAGCTGTAACTCACCCTAGCTTTTCTCAAATTGTATCTCTAATGCTGAGCCTGAGACCTGGAGAAAGAAAACACAATGACTAATGCAAGGCTTTGGCTTTTCTGTTTTGAAGGAACAGGCACAGGCAGTGGCTATTTTGGCTGTCAGTGGAACAGAAGAAGGCCAGCTTCCTCAGGACCTGAAGCAGCTCTCCTCTGGCAAAGAGGGTGGAGCCCAAGGCCTGCTCCTGGCTGTAGACATGCTTTCAGGAGAAGAACATGAGTGTGTCTCACCTGATGACATCTCCTTGCCTCCACTCCCTGGGAGCCCCGATTCCCCCCTTGCCCCATTTGACATGGAGGTCGAGGAACATGCCAGCCCCTCCCTAAGCCTTCACATAAGCAGCTACAGGATGCAGACTGCAGCCAGCTGTCCAGGGGAGGCCCAGGAAACTGGCCTTCCACCACCCGCTGCTTTTGCTGATACTTGCGATGATAAGAGAGAAACTTTGTCAAGTCATTTTGAGAAGCCTCACCCGCAGTTCAAAGCTGAGCCCCCATTAACCTCTGGAGGACTGCTGGAAACCAGTACTGCCATCAGCAAAATCAGTGCTAAACATCCCGAGAGCATGCCGAGTGAACTGCATGAGAGAGCTTTACAACAGCACCTGCAGGCTCAGGAAAGTTTGCTAGAAACACGGGAGAAAATGCATGCTGATTATAATGTCACTAAAACCCAAGATAGGCTGCATGCTTCCCAGGATGCATTCTCGGGCCTGGGGTTTCAATTAGGCCCCAGCCGGGCCTATCAGAGGCAAATGGTTCCCCAAGAAGAGATTAAAAGTACCTCAGCAAAGAACAGTGTGGTCAGCCTAGCTGGCCAGGCACCTAATTTCTCCAGGCTCCTGTCTAATGTAACTGTCATGGAAGGTTCTCCAGTGACTTTGGAAGTCGAAGTAACAGGATTTCCAGAGCCTACACTGACATGGTGGGTAGCCTATAATGACAAGCCATAAACAGAAACAAGTTGAATCACCGGGCAAGTCATTCATGTGCACTAACTGGAAGGTTTAGGGATAGCTGATTAATGTCCTGCCACACTGCAACTCTGCATGACCCAACCTCACGGCAACCCCCCAGCTCTCATTTTAATAGCAGCATGGCTAATACCCTGAAGGGAAAAAAGTAACCATCTGAAATAGAATTTAACAAACTCCAAAGGCACTGCGACTTACTTGTGCTGGTTTTTATTTAACATTCCACATTTCTAAAGATGGTAGGTTGAAAATTTCCCCTATTGTTTATTTTTGCATAAGCATGAAATTTTCTCAGTTTAACATCTTTTATTCAATTAAAAAACATAAGAATTTGGGTTTTTCCCTTTCATTTACGTATCCCCGCTTTTTTTCTCTTCCCAGTAGTCACTCATGTCATTTTGGCAAAATTTGTTTGTTTCACTAAGATTTTTTATACCTTTCTTCAGTGTGAGAGATGGAATAAAAATATTTCTTTCACAGTTACTCCCAGTGACAGGTAACAAACCCATTTTTGAAAGGTGTTATGACTGACCTGTGAACAATATGACTTCACTATGGAGACATTCTTTTTTAGCCTATTTGTTTTAATAGAAATAACCTGCGAAAAAGCTTGTAAAGGCAGTTTTAACTTTCCCAATACTTGGATTAATTTTAAACCTTTAGAAAATTTTCATCCTAAAGTGGATTTATTAGAGGGCAAAATGATGAATTTGTGGGAATGAGTTTATATTTCTGAACTAAGTCAAATAGCATTTCTTTATCATAATGTTTTAATAGATATTAAATGATTAGTTTCAGTTACTGTGTGTGTACATGGGGGGTACTCAAAGTGTGAAGCGGTTACCTACAGAATCTATGAGAAAGCATTGGTTTCTCCGATAAGTAGAAACCGCACTTGTGCTCCGGTGCAGCCATTTATATGCTTGTGGATTTATTTCGTTGTTTTTACCACTGCATGTTTTTTACAGATCAGGAATTTCATATTTTTGAATTTAAAGGATATTTAATTCATCATTAAATATCAATGTACCCTAAAGAAAAATGTTGTCTGAAGTGTTTCTTGTTTTTGTCCACATAACAAATAACTTGGTTAGACTATGTTACTAAGGAACTATTGCAACTATAATACTGAAGAACTATAGTGAAAAAAAATATCTTGCCCTCAGATTTGCAATTTGCTCCATTAACAACTGACAAGATGTCATACATTCTTAGGACATCAGAGAAATGGCAAATGATCACTTAGTGGGAGCAGAAACTATTCAGGCTGTCACAGTTCTTGTATAGAAGGACATGGATATAAATAAATAAGAATCTAGAATAAACAAAATAAATTATTTGCTTTCTAAAAAGATGCAGCCAAGCACTCATGTTTTCAGGAAACTTAGAAACATCCTCAACAGTAATAATCCAAATGCATAAATACCTTTTATAATTAGAATTAGTTTCCTTTTAATAAAATTAACTCATTGGTTAAACGAACTCATTTCTGTAGGAAATACTATATAATAAGTACCTTCCTCTAAAACAGCATGTTGGCATTCGCATGCGGGCCTTCTGGGATGAACACAGTGGGGCAGATGAGCATCACCTAGTGCAGACTCCAGACTGCTGGTCCGCAGCAGCTGGAAGAACCAGGGAGACCAAATAGGAGGGGCCGGTTCCCATTCTAGATAATTGCCAGGAGCAAATCGGGCCCCAGTGTGACCAGATGGTCTGGTTTTTTGAGAGTAGCTGATATCTGAATTTTCATATGCACCATTCCAATTGTTAAATGGTGTCAAAAAATCGATTTCTAGAAAACATGGTCTGAGCCAATCAGGCATTTCTCTGCACACCAGCTGCCAATCTCTGCCGGAAGGACGAACAGCCCCATTGGCATCTGTGGTAGCTGCAAAGTTCCTGCTCTCACTAGAGAGTACTGCAGTGGTGATGGGCTTATGTGCAATGGTTTTTAGAAATTGGGTATGATGTGGATAAACAATGATTCTGACTTTAAAAACTGACTCTCTGCCTCAGGTACAAGAAGGGCCAGAAATTGTCTGCAGATGGACACTTACAGGTTTTCCACAAGGAGACAAGACATTTGGTGTTCATTCCGAAGGTATGTGGGACAGACGCAGGCCTCTATGTGGCTCGGGCCCAGAACTCTAGTGGCAGTCTCTCTTCCAGTGTCATCCTCCATGTGACAGGTAACCGCAGGCCGCCAATCACAAGAATAAACTGGATAACGCTGTGTGTCATCTATGTGAGTGTATCGCTAATGTACTGGCTACTCCTGCAGTAAGTGGGCTTGGCACCTGTGGACGCCACTCTCACAAGCCTACAGGACAATACAGTTGTTCACTTTCCTGTGTTCTGACCATACTGCTTGTAGGGCTAAAACCGTATGACTGTTTGGTGAAATAACCCAGGTTTCTTCAGTGCTTTAACCTATGTGAGGAGCATGGTAAATTATTTGCTGTCGATAAAGAGATTTTTTTGTGTTCCACAAAGAGATGTGTTCAATGGAAAACACAGTAAAAGCACACTATGGTTATTCCCTCCTAACTTAGGAGCATGCAGATCAAGGCTCACAGCATAGGGATGTGAGTCAAATTTTCAAATCCAAATGTTTGAAAATTTAATTTTAATTGTACTCATAAATATCTCTTTGTAGAATAATGGTAGAAATATTGAACTGACATTCTAATTTTCTTTTGCGTGTTAGGTGTTCTTTAATTTTGTTTTTCATGTCTTGATCTCATTTATTGAAATATATTTGATGTGGCTTTAGCGTAGCCTCCATTCCTGAGTCTGAGGTGAATGCTGTAAATAACCACTCCTCCTGTTGATCTCATGGGTTTGACGTTGGAGAATAGATGTGCCGTCAACTTTAAGGGGAGTTTCAAACTTCCGTCAGCTATGCGTGTCACAGAGCAGGATGGGACACGGTCAGTGAGCACAGACCAGCATTGTTCCTGTCATTCTCTCAGCATGCTGTGGGCAGCCATGCATACGATGGCAACCATTTCCTCCTGCTTCTAATCTTGGTTCCGCTGCTGACCATTTTTGCAGCCGATTGTAAGGCATATTAGTAGTGCCTCAGTTTCCCACTTGGAAAAATGGGTTCATCATCTACCTCTTGGACAATTGAGAGTTTTTATGTCATGTCTTACAAAGATCTGGAAAATGAAAAGCATGCAATGAGGCTACAAGTAATTGTATTGTTGAGTCTAATTTGTCATCACCCTGCCTCCTGCCCACTGTTTTTCTTTCAGATGTTGTTTCTTCAGAATATTTAATGAAAAAGATTTCTGTAGTATGTGATCTCTAATTAGTCCCATGTGAGAAAATGAGGTTTTATGAATTGGAGCTTAAATTCCTCTCTAATTTCTTAAGACTACATCCTCTTCAGAGATTTGAAGTTAAACTCAGGAGGGTGCATTTAGGATGATCTGGGTGTGGTGAGGGAGTGACATCAGATGAATTCTGTTCTTTATTGTAATTATCACTGCAGGTTTGAAGAATGTTCTGTGCCTTTCTGAAATATATTATTCAGAAAAGGGGGATTATCTTTTTGGCTCCTTTTAAAAATAAATGTGAATAAGAGTTGCATTTGTTTTTAGATTTTAAACATAGTCTTGTCATACTAGCATAAAATCTTGAGTTGAAAGAATAATTCATTATAGTTTTTTGATGAAGAGAAGGAATTAATTATGTTGCTGTAAGACTGTCTACAAATAATAAAATATTTAAATATAATATATTCAAGTTGATATTAAAAAGTTACTGAATGTTATCTGAAGATGCGAAATGTGTGATTGAGTAAAAAGTTGTACTTTTTTGTGCTGTATAATTAGTTAAATTAAAATATTAGCCCTGGCTGGTGTAGCTCAGTGGATTGAGTGCAGGCCTGTGAACCAAAGGGTCCTGGTTCAATTCCCAGTCAGGGCACATGCCTGGGTTGCAGGTCGGGTCCCCAGTGGGGGATGTGAAAGAGGCAACCACACATTGGTGTTTCTCTCCCTGCCTTCCCCATCTTCTAAAAATAAATAAATAAAATCTTAAAAATATATATTAAATCTCTTAATTTTCTTCCAAATTTTGAAGAAATTTTGCCAGATTTTGCCAAATTTATGCCAAAATTTATGCCAAATTTTGACATAAGCCTATTAAAAGCTTATATATACAGTATCCCAGGGAATACATAGTCTCTTAACTTTCCTACCCTTTTGGTCTGGTTTTGAGTATTTTGCACATCTCGCCTAACTGCTCTTCCCATCTTGAAGCTAAAGAGTGAAATCTATTCATGCCCCAGGAGGACAGGCAGGGCCAGGTAACAAATTCTCTTCCCACCCTCTATCTCTTTTTTTGTTAATTTCATGAGATCTCCTTACCAATATTTGTCAGCTTGGTTGAATTTATGGTTTGGGGTAGTTAGGTCACAGGGACTTGCCCATTTGCTTCACTTGTCACATGCCAATTAACCCTTTGGGGAGCAGGGTGGGATATACATATATGAGGTCTGTCCAGAAAAAGTCCAGCCATTGTTAATATAACAAGAACAGTTTGCATGCATGATATTGATGTAACCTGGCAGCCAAGGACAGTGGACTGGAAGGTGCATGCATGAACAATTACAACTTCACTGTATTAGTGTGGAGGTGGTAGATGCCATTGAGTGAGCACATGTTCTGTGTGGCTATTGCATTCAAAATGAGTGAGTGAGTAGAGCAATGAATCTGCATCATATTTTGTGTTAAGCTTGGACATTCCTCTGTGGACACTATTTGGATGAATCAGAAGGCCAAAGCTACGGGCAACCGGTGATTGCCGACACACCTACCTGGTCGTGCATCATGTCTCCTGCAGAGTTTTTTGGCAAAACATTGAATTGCCCAGGTGACTCAGCCCCATCCAGCCCAGATTTGGTGTCCTGTGACTTCTGGCTTTTCCCAAAACTAAAATCACCTTTGAAAGGGAAGAGATTTCAGACCATCAATAAGATTCAGGAAAATATGATGGGGCAGTTGATGGCATTTGGGAGAACTGTGTGAGGTCCCAAGGTGCCTACTTTGATGGGGACTGAGGTGTCATTGTCCTAGGTACAATGTTTCTTGTTCCTTTTTCAATAAATGTCTTTATTTTCCATAGTACATGTCTGGATATTTTCTGGACAGACCTCATATGTTCATACTGCATGAACAAATAAGGCATATAAAGCCCTTGCTATATTCGATGTATTTATCAAACATAAGATTATATATATGATTATATACATATATACACCTATGTGTACATACATACATAGAGTTTAAATATTGCGAAAAAGCATTACACAGATATTCAAGATATATTTCAGATCATTTTCTATGTATCTTCCAGTGTATATTTATGTAACTATCTACCTACCTACCTGTTTTTCTGGACTATCAGTTGACTAGTAATTCCCACAGCAGTAAAGAATAATTAGCTATTGGTTATATTTGAATTTCAAAGACTTAAGTGTGATATTCCTTTTTGCTAGGATTTCTGCCTTGATCAAAGAATTGTCCTCATGAAAGTATGAACTAAAATTATTGGTCAAAAAGGGAAAAACCTAGCAACTTCAAATGATTTGCTCTGAAATTATAATTAGGATTTTTGCCCATTTACTTCTAGGATAAATTCTAGACATTAATATCAGCACACTTTTTTCAGTAAGAAAATGAAAAGAAAGATTAAAGAGAATACGTACTTGACACCTTAAAGGGAAGCAGCACGAAATGTGTGCTGAGCTTCCTACAAGGCAAAATCACTGAGTTTTCCAGTTCAGATTCTCTAATAAAAGGGTGTAGAAACATTTGGTGGTAAAGTTTTCCTCACCCTGAACTCCAGAGAAATGTATTCTATAAATCCTTTTTATTTGAATCTCTGCATATTTTATAATATCTAAAATACTTGGGAAAAGAAGCAGGAAAAATTTAGTTATTTCATTCAATAGTGTCCACCATCATGTATAGTCAAGATACAGACTTAACATAGATTACTGCAAGACCCTCTAACTCTTTCACTGAAGTTTAAATCCCTTCAAGTAGTAATCAAGATCCTTTCATACTTGGCTTCCCCTTTCCAGACTCTGTTCCCTCCTTCCTGTCCTCTCCTTCCCTCCAAAGCCAAATGAACGCAGGTGTTTACCCTGTCGTGCTCTTTCTTCCCTCCAATGCTTTCTCCCAGAACTCCCTTACTGCGTTCTACCCTGTCTACATGTAGCTCAATGCCTGCTTAGCTTTCCAGTTCCATTTGAGACACTACCCCCCAGGGAAGGCCTCTGGCCCATCAATGGAGTGTAGGTGTCCACACTCCTTTTGAATTGTCAGGTAAACAAAGATAAACTTAGCTTGTATTTTCTTTTTGTCTCTTTTTGGTTTTGGAGAAAGGGGCTGGGGGAATGTAAAGAGAGAAAGGTGTGTTTGTTATCTGATTATTCTTCCTTATTATCAACATTACCCTGTCATAATCGGCTTCCAGCCATGAAGTATGTATTAAACACTTACCTAACCTATACAACTTCAGCAAGAACCCACCAGATCCTCTGCACCAGCCCTTGATTAAAATTTTAAACTTACAGATACTGGGAGATGCTGGCTGTAGTGGTCAGGTCACAATAACACTGAGAAGAGAAGAAGCAAAACCCAGGGCCACTGTCCCAAAGTGTAAAGCACGTGACATCAAGTGTGAATCTCTTCAGGGGTCAGTGCAGGAGTGGTGTCTCCGCTTTGTGGCTGCGTCCCAACTGCCCAAACCGGAACTTACATACCCCTGTAGCACACTGCACAGATTACCAATATTTTATTGTAGCTGGGGCTCAGCAGTCTGGCTGTGAAAAGATCTTACTTGAAACCAACATTTCACTCGTATGTGTAAATGTTTTTTTTTAAAGGCCAAATCCAAGAGCTTAGATCATTTGAATTGCAACTGAAGGAAGGAAATGATAGGGCATCTTGTTCCACTTTGTTTTCACTCATGACCATTCCAGAAATTGCCATCTGAAGCTTTTCAACATTTCTGTTGTACCTACAGTGTTTTAAGTGTATCCATGATATAGATTAGTTGGAACAAAATAAAATATTTCTTCCTAGCATGCTCTGATGTTGTGCTTGTCAGTGCAAACACCAAAGCCTTATTATAAATGGTTTCCATTTATAATAAGCAGAATCCTGAGCTGCCTCAGAGAGCCCAAACATTTGCATTCATGAGATGAAAGTGTCCTGCTTAAAGCGACAATTCATTTTCTCTGCTCTCATCACAAGATGAGATATGAATGTTATCAGCTGTGTATAAATTCAACCTCAGGTGGGAAAAGAGTAGCACAAAGCTACTAATTTGGGCTTTACCACGGCTCCTGGTGGAGTGAGAGTGTGCGCACCTCATGAACCACCCCAATTTCGGTGGTGGACAGTGGATCACACCCCTCCGGGTCGACAGTCTTTGATTCTTTGGCCAGGTAGCTGTTCCCTTCATTCAATGGATAGGTCTGCCTTTTTATAAAATGGGAGGACTTTTACTTTATTTCCTCCTCAAAGTAGGAGGATTTATTTTTTCCTCCTTTTATAATGGAGAATTAAGAAAATTCTTTTTTATATATACCATAAAATTAACACCCCATCCTCTTCAAAAGACAAGGGAACAGAAAGAATTACATAGACAAGAATAACAGAGTGCATTTGTTTCCATGTAGCACAGTAGAAAACGGATGAAAATGAGACATATTTTAACCAGAGGAATGGCTGGAAACATTGATCCAACCTTTTTCTTTAAACCAGAACGATGATAGTTACATGATTTGAAATTTTCAGTCTGTATTCAAGTGGGTTCCTGCTATGGCTTTTTTCCATTTAGAACCCACTTAAATCAATATTTGTGAAATGCAGCTTGGCAGAGCTAGCTAATGAAATAAATTCTTCCCTTTGTCATTCAACAACTGTTCTCTTCCAAGAACTTTATTGATTCCAACAACTACAACATGGCACCTTCTATCTTACATTGTCACTAAAAATCATTTAATAAAATCTTTTCAAGGTAAGAATTCAAAAAATGATCTGCAGAGAAATACTTTACTCGTGGCAAATAGTCTCTGACATGCTGTTGACCAACAGAACAAGTTGGACACACAGACAAAGCGGGAACCCAGGTACCTGGAAGAATTGGACAGGCCAAAATGCCCATCCTCTCCAGAGTCTTCTCCAGCGACCTTCACCCGTCACCTGCCGCTTGTGATTGAAGCTAACGCAGCTCCGGAGGATGCCTTTTCAAATGCATGTTTATTCATTTCTATTACTTTTAAGGGAATAATAGGATTACTTAGCAAATCCGCGTCTGATTCTTGTACAGAAACGGGATCTGTGGGAACCTGGAAGGTTCGGACTGTATGCTGTGTTTCCCTCAGTGTTGGGAAAGGTAGGCAGGAAGAGAAGAATAGCCAAAAATCAGGGTGCGGAAACTGAGTGTCAGCTATGGGTTTTCCCTTCACTCTCAGTGTGAATTTCCTACGGATGCAGGAAACACACCCGTGTGGGGAGTAAATGCAAATGCTTGTGGGGCGCCCCTGAGAGGAAGGGAGAGGCCGTAATAACAGGTGTCTGCTTATTTTTGTCCCCCAGTTCAAGGATGGTTCTGGGTGGCAGAGGGTGTCTGGGTGACACCTAAACCCAGTGACCGGTGTTCTTACAAGAAGATGGGACAGAGATGGAGACGGAGAGGAGCCACACAGGAGAAGGCTGTGTGGCGGTGGAAGCAGAGCTTGTTGTGACACAGCTGCTGTGAGCCCCACGGCAGCAGAGACGGCAAGCACAGCCACAACGAGAGGTGGTGAGGATTCACCTCTAGGGACTTCAGAGACTCTCTCTCATTCAACACTGTGCTGGCAATCTTCGCTAGTGAATAAGACAAGAAAGGGAAGGTCTATGAGGTAGTCAGATTAAATTTACTCTGTACTTTACATGTACTTTATCACTTAAAAGAAAACTAACTGATGCACCACAAATGCCGAGTATTGAACTTG